ACCCCTATCGTATCATCTCTTCTGGCGGTTCTGGGTCTCCCGAACAGATTCCGTGAGGGTCTGCAAGCGGTCCCTAAACTCTAGAACATACTGTACAATATGGACTCCCTCCTCTCCTGTGTTGCCCTGCCAGTGCTCTCTTATGAGGTCTAGGGGTCCCCGGACTTTTCTCCCATAAAGGTGTTTGAAGGAGGAGAACCCAGTAGAGGCCTGAGGCACTTCACGGTAGGCAAACAGGAGGTGAGGGAGAAACCGTTCCCAGTGCGAAAGCATCTGCTTTAAGGTGCCGTTAAAACGCTCACATAGTCCGTTAGTCTGGGGATGGTAGGGAGAGCTGAACAAGGGTTTCACGCGCAACTCTGCCATAATTGTTGGGTTACAATTGCGGTGAACTGTGTCCCCCTGTCCAAAAGATTTCCCTGGGGAAGCCTACCCGAGTAAAAATTTTTACTAAAGCCTCAGCCACCGTTTCCGCCTCTATGTTGGAAAGAGCTACCGCCTCAGGGTATCTGGTAGCATAGTCTACCGCAGTGAGGATGTAGCGCTAGGTGCTGGACTTATTAAGAGGACCTATTAAATCTATGGACACCCGGTGGAAGGGCTCCTCAATAATAGGTAGCGGATGCAGTTTAGCCGTTTGGCGATCCTCTCTCGTCCCTGTCCTTTGACACAAGTCACAGGTCCTGCAATAGGTCTTTACACCTGGGGCTGGTCTGACAGCCCTGATCATCCCAAGTAATTTTATTTAAATCATTTTCCCCTTGGACTGTGCCAGCTGTGTCAGTCCGAGGGGAGTAAAGAGGGACTAGCTGGGGGCTGGTACGGCTGCAATGAGGCTGCCCGCGGCCGGAGGGAGTCTCCCAGCACAATTTACCTTAATTTAGGCTGCATGCCCCGCCTCCACACACAAGCCCTGCCTCCTGAACATAGCTCTGCCCCCTCGCGTAAGCCCTCCCGCCCCCCCCACACGTTGCTCGACGGAAGGAAGAGGCTACAAAATGGAAACTTCACCTACCAGTGCCAGGTAAGCTTCAGCCATGACTTTGATTGTGTTTGTGTGTGTGTGTGTGTGCCTGCTTGTGTGTGTTTGTGTGTGTGCCTGCTAGTGTGTGAGCTTGTCTGTGTTCAGGGCCGGTGCAAGGATTTCTGCCATCCTAGACAAAGATCCATTTTGCCGCGCCTTCATGTCACTCACTGACAGACACACACACGCTGACACACATACACTCACTTACTGACATACACACAGAAACTCACCGACAGACATACACTCAATCACTGACAGACACACACACAGACACTCACTGACAGACATAAACACTCACTCACTGACACACACTCACTGACAGACATACACTCACTCAATGACAGACAAACACACACTGACAGGCATATACTCACTGACAAACACGCACAGACACTTACTGAGAGACATACACACACACTCACTGACAAACATACACTCACTCACTGACACACACACACAGAAATTCACTGACAGACATTCACTCACTGACATACACATTCACACAGACACTCACTGACAGACTTACACTCACTGACACACACTGACAGATATACACTCACTCAGTGACAGACACACAAATTCACTGACAGACATATACTCACTCACTGACAGACAGACACACACACACACACACTCACTGACAGACATATACTCACTCACTGAGAGACAGACACACACACACACACAGAAACTCACTGACAGACATACACTCACTCACTGATAGACACACAGACACTCACTGGCACACACACACAGGCAGACACACATAGCAGCGATTGTTCCCCTTGTTCGCGCTCTCCTAGCTGTTCGGGAAAAGGAAGCAGGCATTCGGCTATACGAACGGCGGCCACACATTGCTTAATTGAACGTTTCCTTTATCAATAATGAGCCAGAAGGGTGGGTTGGTCTATCGGTAGTTTGAAAACTACCAAACAAATAAACTAAATGTGAAAAATATCCGAAGTATTATGCGAACAAAGATAGAGAAAGCTGGTTTTCTCACATGACAGAGTGGTCTGTTACTATATTTTTAGTATTCATTTTTCTTACACTCATCACATTGTAGAATATTAGCAAATTATAGGATCATTGATGCTACTGAATAGAACATAGACATAACAGAAAATACATGGTCCACCAACTAAAGCCATTTTGCCATATAATGATACTGGACATATTGACTCATCTATCGGGATAAGTATTGTCACCAGAAGTCTATCAGAATGCATACATAAATGTTATGGATCTCTCTGAATTCTAAAATGAAACCAGCTTGTTGGAGCCTTACTGGTTTCTAACAGTGGATTAGGACTTGTTATATTGGTACTGCTTTACATAGTATTTGCTTGCTCCAACAAGTCCAGGTTTCTTGCTACTATTCTGGTTTTATCTGGCTGATCTTGTCTTCCATAATACTGAGTCCGGCTTGCCCTTGGTATTCTGTTGTTTGCTACTCATTCTGAGCATTGGCTAGTGTTTCATCTATTATACTATTACTATTAGTATTATATACTATTATATATCATCTAATATATCATCTCCTCAGGTTATTCATGTAATCTGTTGTCTGTTATTATCAATTCTTGTCTTTTTTGTTTTGTTATTCTTGTACCTGGTTCACAACATGTGGTCTGTTTCTGGTACTGTGGCGACTTCACCCCTCCCAAAAAAAGACACTTGGGATGTATGCTATTTATTATTAGTAGTATTATTTTATTATTTATATGGCGCCATCACATTCCGTAGCGCTGTACAATGGGTGGACTAAAAGACATGTAATTTTAACCACACAATTGGACGTACAAGAACAGAGAGGTGGAGGGCCCTGCTCAATGAGCTTACATTCTAGAGGGAGTGGGGTATAGTGACACAAAGGGTAAAAGTAGGGGTAAGTAGGTTGTTAGAAACGTATACACTGAGGGCTTAGTAGGTAATTTGTGACAGCTGCAGGAGACGAGTCATGGGGTGTGGGGGATAAAAACCTGCTAACAGTTTAATTGATATGCTTTCTTGAAGAAGTGTGTTTTCAATTATTTTTTTAATGAGTGGAGACTGGGCGAAAGTCTTACAGAGAAGGGAAGGGAGTTCCACAGAAGAGGTGCAGCCCTGGAGAAATCTTGGAGGCGAGCATTTGAGGTTGGAGTACGGACAGAGGATATACGTAGGTCTTTGGCAGAGTGCAGGGACCTTGACGGGACATACTTGTGTATTAGGGAGGATAGGTAGGTTGGAGCAGCATTATGTAGGGACTTGTAAGCAAGCACCAGAATTTTAAATTGAGCCCTATATCTAACTGGAAGCCAATGCAGGGACTGACAGAGCGTGGAGGCGTGGGAGGTGCGCGCGGACAGGAAAATGAGCCTTGTCGCCGCATTCATTATAGATTGCAGCGGTGCAATCTGGGAACACGTAAGACCACTGAGAAGGGTATTGCAGTAGTAATGAGGGACAGTCCCTATTGTGGGCCCAATCCCCCCTTCCCTCTTTTTTTATCCTACAGTCCTTTTTTATAGTTATGTGCCTCTTTCCTAGGAGCTCTATATTGTTTGTGTGTCTGAATTTATATCGGAGCTCCAGTAGTAATGAGGGACAGTCCCTATTGTGGGCCCAATCCCCCCTTCCCTCTTTTTTTATTCTAGAGTCCTTTTTTATAGTTATGGGCCTCTTTCCTAGGAGCTCTATATTGTTGGTGTGTCTGAATTTATATCGGAGCTCCACAGCAATAATGCTCACAGTAGCACAACTTTAAACTACACAAAAAGAAAATCAATCTGCATAAATAAGATACATTGTTCTAAAATGTATTTCAGTTGCATACATTTTTATTAGCAAGTCACCTAAAATTTGTCATAGCAACACCATCCTTAGCCACAACCGAAAACGAGTGTCCCTCTTTGTCCATTTGAAATGTTGGGTGATATGGACTGTATCTGAATATTCAATTCTAATGTTTGAGAAACCCTAACGTAAAAAACAAATTATAACAGTAAATGCTAGCCCTAATATGTACCAGAACAATTGTAAAATGGGCCAATTCATCATAATTGTCCAATAAGTCAACTGTCCGGCCTCTCTGCACCAGAGGTAAGAGTATATTTGTCTCTTTACAACTGCTTTAATAAATAAAATAAAAAAATGACAATTAGATTTTAGAACTAGGCACACTAAACAAATGGAACAAAAAATGTAAGTACTCAAAACTGACAACTATTAAAGGGTAACTCTGACCACCATGATCACTTCATTAATTTGAAATGGTCATAGTGGTAGGAGTTAGAATGTGCAGTGTTACCGCCCATACTGAGTTATTGCTAATTGTGTGCTGGGACAAGTTCCCTCCCTTCAGCGCACATGACATTGGTAGAACTCGTAAATTAAGTCTGACAACAGGCGTGATAATCGTGCCCTACAAGGGTAAGATTGCATTCCCCTCACTCCTTCCAACACACATTGCACTCCTCCATTCCCTCTAGCATTTCGCCTCATCGCGCAGAGCGTCCATAGGACAGCATCCATAGGAAAGCATGGATGTCGGACGGGGGAGTTGATGTTGGCGGGGGAGGAGAGGTCACCAGCGCCGAGGGAGCCCGGTGCTGGAATAAGGTAAACTGCTGAAGGGATTTTAGCCCCTTCAGCGCCACTGGAGGGGGACCCTGAGGGTGGGAGGATGACCAGGGTTTCCAAATTTACAGTGAGGCTCCAGAAACATGGTTCCTGAATCTCTGTTTCCGGGAATCTCTGTGTGTGTCTCTCCTGCTGGTGATTGTACTGGCAGCTAATGTGTTTGCGTGCATGCGCAGTACATATAATTGCAGTTGAAAAGCTGATTGCGTGTCACCAGGGAGCTTTGCTCGGAACGGAATTTTGTAAGTAAAACAGTTTTGTTTTTTGTTTTGTTTTTTATATAAACAGGTTTGGAGGGGGGGACGACCTTGTCCATAGTGCCAAATAGTACATTTTACTCTGGAATGGTCCCCCCTCCATAAGGGTTGGAGTAACTCTACATCATAAGTAAGATTGCTCAGACAACTTCCAGTATTGAAAAAGAAAATGAATGCTCCACCAGGGGGCGCGCTGACAATAACAGCTTTGTAGCTTCACCCAGCGTGCTGGGAGTTAAGAGGGTCGCAACAGTTTGACGTCAGAGCTACTGCAGAGGTCAGCAGCAAAGGAAGTATCTGTCAGAGAGCCAGGTGAGTGCAGCATGGAGTTAGTCAGTGAGCTAGCTGTGTATGGCATGTGTTTAGTTACAGAATGTCTGTGCAGCCCTGTGTGGGAGTATTGGTGCAGTGTAGCTCTCTACTCTGACACTGTGCTTGCTGGTCTGGATGCAGTGCTGCCAGCCTGTATTCTGGGTCTCTCGTGTATCTGGTGAAATTAATCATTTTTCGGACATCGAGCTGATATATGTTGGCAGGGACCAGGGCAGCATGCCTTCACATACATAACCAATAATAAACTACAGTTCAATAACAGCCTCATCAACACTAACACGTAAGAAATGTATAAGTAATCCCGAAGGCTTAATGTATTTCATTGTAAAATAAAATTACCAAAAACATTATTGAATACTATATTAAAACAAATATGGAAACATAATAATATTACCTAGCCTTAACACTTCCTGCTGCCAATGCGAATTACAGTGCTTGAAGAAGGGCAAGTGCCACCCAAGACCTGGAAGACGCTACAATCTGGTAACTCTTACTTTGGTCTAAACAAGTTCCCAATTACTTTTTCCCGTGGAACTCTTTGACACAGTGTATCAACATGGTGGAACCCCTCTCTCCCCCACCAATTGCGCCCTTTTTTTGTATGTCAAGGTGTGTGTGTATATGTGCTTGTATGTGCCAGTTTGTGTATGTATCTGTGTTTGTATGAATCCGACACACAGATACACACAGTGTGTATCTGTGTGTCAAGGTGTGTGTTTGTGTGTGTATGTGTGTGTGTGTGTATATGTGTGTATATATATATATATATATATATATATATAACACAGACACACAGTGGCACTCAGATACACAATGACACACACATCTTGACTCACAAATACACACATTCAGATACACACAGTGACATATACACACACTGATATACAAACACACACTTAGATACACACAGTGACACATACACAAATCCTGGTTGTCACAGTGTTGAGAGTGAACTCTAGCCCGTAGCTCCAGGGCTAGAATTGACTCTCGCAAGAGCCGTAACGTTGCCGTGGTAATCGCGGCAACGCTCTGTGCTCGCGCAAGAAGGACCCAGAGGAGCTGCAGGCTGAGCTCCCGGGTCCTCTCTTCCTCCCTCCCCTGCCGGCTGCCCGCACGGTGCCTGCGGACAGGGGGGGGGAGCCCCGTTGCTCCTCTGGATCCACCAGTGATATATACAGCCCTTCTGTGTGCCTTTTTGTCTCCCCCCAGTCCCTCTGTATGTTTCTTTCTCCCCCTCACTGCTCCTGTGTCCATGTCTCCCCTCTCCTTCCCAGTCTCTCTTACCCCTCTGCCACTTTCTCCCCCTCCCCTTGTGTGTCTCTCTCTTTTCTCCCTGTGTCTCTCTGTTTCTTTCTCCCCCTTTCCCTGTGTCTCTCTCTCCCCCATATCTCTCTTCCTCTTTGTCTCTACATCCCCCCTCCCCCATCTCTCTATCCTCACTCTTTCTCCCTCTGTGTCTCATTCTTCCCCCTCTGTCTCTTTCTCCCCATCTCTCTATTCCCCTCTTTCCCCCTGTGTCTCATTCTTCCCTCTCTGTCTTTCTCCCCATCTCTCTATTCCCCCTCTTTCTCCCTCTGTGTCTCATTCTTCCCCCTCTGTCTCTCTCTCCCTCCTCCCCGTGTCTCTCTATTCTCCCACTGTTTCTTTCTTCCTTCTTCCCCCTCTCTGTTTTATTTTTTCCCCCTCCCATTTACCGACAGAAGTCAGAGGGGGCCGGCCGCGTTCCACGCTGGAGCCGCCGGGCTGGTTGGCAGCCTCCTGTCCTGTCACTAACGCTGAGGACGTTAGGAGGGAGGAGCATGTCTCTCTCTTATGCTCCTTTGCGGTTCCCACAATTCCCAGCACAGGATGTGGGAACCGCAAAGGAGCATGAGAGAGAGACATGCTCCTCCCTCCTTCCGTCATCGGCATTAGTGACCGGACAGGAGTGCCGCCGGACCGGCGTGGCTGCCGCCCGGCCCGGTGGCTCCAGCGTGGAACGTGGCCGGCCCTCTCAGAGTGTGCCACCGGACCGCCCACCCGGTGGCACCTACTTGCTTAGCCCCGGTGGTCCAATCTTGCCCTGCTGGCGGGCCCCCTGATGGTGGGCCCCCGGAACATGTCCGAAGTGCCCGACCGATCAGTCTGCCCCTGCATACAAACACATATACACTCTCACTGACAAGAACAGATACATTCTCACTGAGATACACATTCACTCTCACTGACAAACACATATACTCTTTGACAGACACACAAACACATACAAATGCCCAAACAGACAGACATACAATTTTTTAAAAAAAATTTTTTATATTTTACTCCATCCAGCCCTCCTACCTTTAGGAGTGCTGGCCTGGAGTCCTTGGGGTTCAGTGGGGCGGCTCGAATGCTGAGCGTACAGTCCCTGGGGTCCAGTGTGGCTACCTGCTCAGCTCCCTCGTGCGCCTCTTAGTGATGCCGGAGTGATCACTGCTCACTGCTCCCTCGCCGCCTGCAGCCATTTTATTTTTAAAAATTTTGGTGGAACATCAATTGGGAAACGCTGGTCTAAACACACACACTCACTCTCTTTCGTAAAAAGACCGAGTTTTATGTGGTTAGTAGGACCATTCCTGATCAAGAAAAGTCTTAACCAATCCTGGCATTCTCATTAGGCCTGTGGGGATATAGGGTGCATGCATGCGCAGCAATCACCACACTTAGCTTATCAAATGCTTTTGTAAGAGAAGCATTAAATTCAGTGCTTCAGTTTGGGACGTACAATATGTGCAGCATCATCGTACTGTGATGACAGATCTTCATGAGAAGGTGCCTCTAATAGCTGTCAGCCGGACAGTAACTAGAGATGTGATTATTGCACATATGTAAACGTTGTTGATTTCAGATCAGCAATGCTTTACACTGTCTGGAAAAAAATGGACAGGGTAATTTCACCAAAACCACTACATTAGGATTCTACTGTACACTCGGTCTAGTGCTTTTTCATGGTTTGTATGTTTCTTTATCACAGGTACGCTCTTTGCCATGTCAGCTGTACGTGCTACTGTCCATGCAAAATGGATTGTAGGCAAAGTGATCGGGACAAAGATGAAGAATACTGCAAAAGTCAGAGTGACGAGGCTGGTACTGGACAACTACTTGTTAAAGGTAAGTAAAGTTAACATCAAGTCCTTCATATTTTATACCGTAATTTGTTTTGTATTTGGATATTTTACTATAGAAGCTACATTTTTGACAATCCAAATGTATAAATATACTGTATAATCATATATTAAGTTTGGGCCTGTAAATAATCCCCTTCGTCCCCATCAGGATTGTTGTGAATATACCCCATAACATCTCTCAAACTTCAAAGTGCCTAGCAACATTAAAGGACCACTATAGTGCCCCCACCCTCAGGGTCCCACTCCTGTCGGGCTGAATGGAGAGGAAGGGGGTTAAAAACTCACCTTTCTCCAGCACCGGGCTCCCTCGGCGCTGGGGACTCTTCTCCTCCTTTGGCCGTCATGGGCTGAATGCACATGCGCGGCAAGAGCCGCATTGAGCGTTCTCAATGCTTTCCTATGGACGCTAGCGTCTTCTCACTGTGAAAATCACAGTGAGAAGCGCAGAAGCGCCTCTAGCGGCTGTCAATTCTCTGAAACTGCTATGTTTACAGCAGGCAGGGTTAATCCTAGAGGGATCTGGCACCCAGACCACTTCATTAAGCTGAAGTGGTCTGGGTGCCTATAGTGGTCCTTTAAATGTTTTGTTCATGTCATTATAACAGTTTGGCAAGACCAAAAAAATTTAAATGTTTTGTTATACTAGCATTTGTATTTCACTCTTAGCCTTAGTCAGCTAGAAAAGAAATGTGGCTCAGGGATGCAGAATTGCTATCGCCCTGGACATTTAGTTCAGGGCACTGGGCAAGCAGTTTATTTTTAGTCATTAGCCCTGTGGCAGGGCAGCCACATGACTGCTTTGACGTATAATATAGAAATGCTAATACAGCCTGGTATACTGAATATACTTGAGGGAGACAGGTCCGGGGCTGGGAGCGTCTTGTGTTCACTTCAACGAGTGCAGACAGTAATTGCTTCCTCTCAGTCTAGCATTCACTAATGAGTCAGAACACAGGAACTGGTTTTCCCAGCCTGATACACTGAGTGCCAGGACTGTGAGGAAGTAATTACTGAAATCTACTCCTACAGAAGGTGCAGACCTAACTAGGCCACCAGGAAATATGAACCCAACCAAGCAGGAGGAATGCAAAACAGAACCACAAACACTACATGTATCACACACACATAACATATACAGCCAGCTGAGGGCAAAACTCCAAACTTTCACAAATTAAATCTAATTAAGTAAAATGAAGCAAAAATAGCCAGTTGTAATTAAAGCTGAGTTGGAGAATTTCTTCAGATCATCTATTTATCCCTCAGTTTTTCCATTCAGATTAAGCTTCCATTAAATATGTTTAGACACACTTCTAAAATTAACTTTTTCAAAATATTGAAATATAATATAAAACGACATTAAACTATCACAATGTAAAAAAAAATTTTCAATATAGTATAGTTTAAAAAAAAAAAAGATTAGATAATTTAAAATGCTTAAATTGAGGCCTTAAAGGGGCACTCTGGGCACCCAGACCATTTATCTAATTGAAGTGGTCTGGTAGACAGCCACTAGAGGCAGCCTTGGTACTGCAACATAAACATTGTAGTTTCTCTAATACTTCAATGTTTTACAGGGCGTAGGAGAACAGTGACCGCGCACCCAGGCCACTTCAATGAGATTAAGTGGTCTGGGTGCCTATAGTGTCCTTTTGATGAAGCAGTTTTGGTGTATATATCATGCTCATGTAGATTTACTGCTCAGTTCTGCCATTTATGAGTTATATCACTTTTGTTTATGCTTCCCTGGCTTTCACTCACACATCCTCCCTCCACACTTATTGAGAAAGAGCATACATTTCTTTATTTTTTATAATCTCTTTCATATGAATCTCTTGGTCTGCTAAGTGAATGTTATAGCTTACAATTAAAGTTCAATTAACAGAGCAGGAGAGAAGAAAGTTATAAAGTAAAACACACAAATGCACCAAAGTGCTGTACAAATTAAACCACTTTTTTATTATTTTTTTTTCGTGGAGGTTGTGTGATAAACAGGCAAGGGAGGTGTGGCTAGAGCTGTTAGATCTAACTCCTAAGTGGCAGAGAATTGAGCAGTAGGATTAGAGGGGCATGGTCTATACTCAAAAACCACTTAATTTATCTAAAGTTGTTTTGTTGCTTTGTGTAATTTCAATAAGGCTAATGTCAGAAACTGTATATCACGTTAGAATTAGAATATAATGAAATGATGATCAGTGATTTTATTTATTTATTGGTTGCTTTTGCTTTTTACTGATTTTATGTGTCTCTCCTTCTCTTTAGTATTACAATAAGAGAAAGACCTACTTTGCTCACGATACTTTCCAGCAGTGCACAGTGGGAGATATTGTGTTACTTAAAGCTTTGCCTGAGGAAAGGTCCAAACGTGTGAAACATGAACTGGCTGAAATAGTTTACAAGGTGGGCAGAGTAGTAGACCCACTGACTGGGAAGCTATGTGAAGGTACTGAATTTCTGGAAACTCCAACAGATGCTGATATTAAAGACCTTAATGACCACCTGGAGAAACTGGAAATAGCAGAAACAAAACCAGAAAAGACTGTGGACCACTGAATGTAGAGCATGTGGCTCTGTGATGTGACTTCGTGTTGGTTTCCTTATATTTTCAAGACATGGTACATTCGTGATTTATGAGATGCCATGAGGACTTAACCTTTGCCTTCTTCATGTATGTAGTAATCTATCAGAACAAAAAACTTGTGTTGAATAATTAAACATTTTTCAGATTTTGCCCTTAAATATAAGGTCAATGTGACGCTGATCAACACTTATCAAACTATACATGTAGTTTTTACGAGAATAAACATGTTTATTTTACAGTGATTTGTCCACATTTATTTAATTATAAGCTTCCACCCAGTGCCCATCTCCATGTGATGGGTCTTCCTGGTGACTGGACAGCATTGGGTACACAGTTGCTAGTTTTTGGTTAGTTTAATAAATATAGATTAACTAAGAGAGATAAGGGACACCCCTGGTACACATGTCTACCCAACTCAAAGTAAGGGGAATCCAAGCTATTGTGACACAAAAAAAGGCAACAAATCTAGAACCAAAGTATCTTAACTTCAAAGTTTTTGATGAGATGAGGACTGGTCACACAATCATTCAGACTGAGGAGAAGAGGATATACTGGTGAGGAGTCACTCAAATTAGCTTGAGCAACAGCTGCTTAGGACCAACCCCACCACTAAATGTCTGCCTTTTATCAAGCCATATTGGTGTGAGATCAGGATATCAGGCAAGAAAGTTTGAAGTCTAGTGGCCAATATCTTTGTGAGAAGTTAAAAAAATCAAGATTGGGTGATACGATTAGGGAAACGTGAGATCCCTGTCTTGTTTAGGAATAAGAATTGTTTACGCTACATTTAGGGATTCAATTTGGTGACTCTCAACATGAATATTGTTAAACAATTAAGTTATTGTTTGACAGATATGGGCTATTAACATTTTGTAGTACTCCACAATGTAACCACCTGGGTCAGCTGTCTTACCTATTTTAAAGCTGGAGATGGCTGCGTAAAGTTCTTTCTCTGTGATTGGACTATTTAAGAGATCACAAAATCTTCCTCAACATTGGAAATGTTGACGTCTTCCAGGAATTTAAAACCCAACTGGTGGTTGCCTATTGGTGCGGTGTAAAGAGAACGGAAATAATTATTTTTAAAATTGTTAATTTGAGTATGGGAGGTAATACGATCACCTGAACTGGAACAAATACTGGTAATGGGTTTACCAGGTGACTTCTGATTTGCCATCCTTGCTAAAATCCTCCTTGATCTTTACCCCACCTGAAACATTGACTGACCAATAACTGCATATTGGGCTTTTTGTGCTACAAAAGATTTCAACACCTGTTTAGCTTCTGTATATCTAGAATTTGATTATTGGGTTGATGATTATAACTGAATGGTAAGAGCTAAAGTTAATGCGGTTTCCAAGGAATGAAAGTCATTCATCATCTTCCTACGCTGAGCAGTAACATATGAAATGATTTGATCTCTTAACATTTCCCACAATATTCTGGAATCATCTGAGTGTTCAAAGTTATCAAATCAACATGCCCAAGAAGATTCTTATGAGCCGGAAAAGAGTGTTTTTTTGTTGTTGTTTTTTTGGGTTTTTTTTTTTAGTTTTTTGGGTTTTTTTTTGTTTTTTTTGGGAGGGAGGGGGAGATTTTGACCAACTGTGAAAGGAATCGCCAATGTTGTTTAAAGGAATGGTTTGCCAGGAGAGTCAAAGTCAGTATAATTGGGTCAGAAACAGAGAGGATATTAAGACTTCAATTCTATGGGATAATAGGATTGTTGCTACTAGAAACATTTTGATACTTGATCTAGTGTCATGAACTGATGAATAATGGGTATAGTCTCATTCTGTTCCATGTAAAATGTGCCAAGGGTCATGTAGATTTAAGTGGTGGATATACTGGTCAAACCCTAAATCAGCAGTAGTAGAAGGAGTTCTGGAAAAGTCAGATCTGTCAAGTTGAGGATTTATAACATTGTTAAAGTTTCTGCTTAAAAGCAATCTATCAACTGAAGCATCAGTCAGAAGTTTACCATAAAAGAAAGAAACATGCATTTAGAGCATAAATATTTACAACATAGTGACGGCAAGCTTGAATGAGCAGAAACAAAAGTATATATATATATATATCGACCATCAGGATCAAGCTCTTCTTTTCAAGTTCCGGTGGAAATGTATAGCGGCTCCTCTGGCTTTAAAATAGTAGTTATCTGCAATGTATCTTTGCCGGAAGGCACAATACAAGTTGTATATATTAGCCCAAGGTGCAGACCAGAAGATGGTAGCCAGTTGTGGAACTAGAGTAGAGAGAGCATCAATTTGTTTGGGCCCCCTCTATCACAATGCTTTACCAGCTGGTAATCTAAATCTACCTTTAACCCATGCTTGCCGGGTTGTATTGTGTTAGTGTACAGTGTTAGTGTATTGAATGTAAGTATGTTTTTGTATGGAGTATATGTGTGTGAATGTAGGAATTTGTGTGTAGTGTTGTACTGTAGTCATTTGAGAGCAGTGGTTTACTTGTGTGTAGTGTTTGCCTTTGAATGGATAGGTGTGTCTGCATGAATTTTTGACATTTTAATGCAGTGGTAAATTATTGTGTAGTGTTGGCATATGAATGCTGAAATGTATGCACATATACAAGCCACACACACATACATATACACATGCACATACAGACACACTGACTCACATCCAGATACACACATGGTCACACATACAGATACACATACACAGGTACAGACATGCAGATACAGAGACACACAAAGAAATACACAGATACACAAACACACAGGTGCACATACTGACACACAGACATACAGGTTCACAAATGCAGATAGACACACACTAACACACATACAGATAGACACACACATGCAGATATACAGACACACAGAAACACACATGCATATATACAGACACATATTACCACATACATATACACAGAAACAGAGAATGATACACATTCAAATACACGCTGCTCCAGCGGTAGTTCCACGGCTGATGGTAGCTTATGTAGAAGTGCCCAGGGTAATTTCTACTCTGTCTAGGCCTCTGGAAGATACCACAATTGCAACAAAACTCAATTTACACAGGCCAAAAGAATGCTTGGAAGAGCAGATGGAATTAGCATGTAGTTTCACTTATGAACTGCCAATGTAAAAAAAGGAACCATAACTTTAGTATGCAAACAATGTGAGTTTCTCCTGGATGGAAGTTTCCCCCCAGGGCAAGCTAGTAACCACTCCTTGATCTTGGCTGAGAAGTCAGTGCCTCCTCACAGAAAAAAAACTGTCATTTTTGGTGAATTTATAAATGAACTTCAAATCAATATTCATGTATTGCTGCTCTTTCCATTTGTAGATTTTGGCAAAAGTGAAGACAAACAGCACTTTGGATCTGCAAATATAAGCACTGTAACGGAGCTCTTGTACTCTGGCTTAGTTCCTCCATTAGATCGGCTTCCTCGCTGCCAGTAGGGGCAGCGGGAGCATGTCAGACCCAGTAGTCAAAGCTGGACTGAGGGTCTCTGGATAACTTTTCCCTGGATCGTGCAGCAGTGGTTTAGTTCCCTGTATAGGTTATAGACCTTCTCTCCTGTAAACCAGTGATTATAGCTTTCCCCCCACACATTACTGGAGACTGAATGTAAGGGGGTAAAATGCATCTTTATTGCACACAGCACAGCTATTTATACACAGAAATGTAGGTCCCCACACCAGAGTGTCCTCCATATAATGTAGTGGCCCTTCCCACAGTGACAATACTGTGACAAGCACTTGAATGCTTACCAATTTTTGCCATTGTTACAAAAAATAACACAATGATCTTCTGTCAAAGATTGATAGTACATTTGACAGTTTCACAATTTTTGTTTGGTTATTGTTAGAGTAGTAAAAGTAATTACAGTATATTAAAGGACCACTATAGTGCCAGGAAAACAAACCCGTTTTCCTGGCACTATATAGTCCTTAGGCCCCCCCCACCCTCAGGGTCCCCCTCCAGCCACTTCAGCCACTTACCTTAATCCAGCGCCGGGCACCCTTGAACGTCGCGGAAGCGCCTCTAGCAGCTGTCAGGAAGACAGCCACTAGCGGCTGGATTAACCCTGCACATTGAGCTGAAGTAGTCTGGGTGACTATAGTGGTCCTTTAAAGTATGTGATTCAGTGTGGATTGTGCTCACATTTGTATAATGTATATGTTGGTTATATATGATAGTTTATACACCCTGTTCCAAATTATTATGCAAATTCTATTTAAGTGTCACAAAGATTAAATATTTTGTTTTTTAGTTTAACTCATGGATGGCATTGTGTCTCAGGGCTCTTTTGATCACTGAAAACAATCTCGGACACCTGTGATAATTAGATTGCCAGGTGAGCCCAATTTAAGGAAAAACTACTAAAGGAGGGTGTTCCACATTATTAAGCAGAGCACCATTTTCATGCAATATGGGGAAGAAAAAGGATCTCTCTGCTGCCAAAAAGAGTGAAATAGTTCAATGCCTTGGACGAGGTATGAAAACATTAGATATTACACGAAAACATAAGCGTGATCATCGCACTATTAAGAGATTTATGGCTGATTCAGAGCACACACGGGTTCGTGCAGATAAAGGCACGTTGAGGAAGATTTCTGCCAGATCCATGCATCGGATAAAGAGAGCAGCTGCTAAAATCCCATTACATAGCAGCAAACAGATTTTTGAAGCTGCTGGTGCCTCTGGAGTCCCACGGACATCAAGGTGTAGTGTCCTCCAGAGTCTTGCAACTGTGCATAAACCTTCTATTTGGCCACCACTAACCAATGCTCACAAGCAGAAACGGCTGCATTGGGTAGAAAAATACATGACGAGTAATTATTAAATAGTCTTGTTCACTGATGAGTGCTGTGCAACCCTGGATGGTCCAGATGGATGGAGTAGTGGATGGTTGGTTGACAGCCACCATGTTCCAACAAGGCTGCAACATCAGCAAGGCAGTGGTGGAGTATTGTTTTGGGCCGGAATCATGGGAAGAGAGCTGGTCGGCCCCTTTAGGGTCCCTGAAGGTGTAAAGATGCAAAGTATGTGGAGTTTCTGACTGATCACTTTCTTCCCTAAAGGGGAAGAACTATGCTTTCCATAATAAAATCATCTTCATTCATGACAATGCACCATCTCAAGCTGCAAAGAATACCTCTGCATCAATGGCTGCTATGGGGATAAAAGGAGAGAAAGTCATGGTGTGGCCTCCATCCTCCCCTGACCTCAATCCTATTGAGAACCTTTGGAGCATCCTCAAGCAAAAGATCTATGAGGGTGGGAGGCAGTTTACATCCAAACAGCAGCTCTGCGAGGCTATTCTGACATCTTGCAAACAAATTCAAGCAGAAACTGTCCAAAAACTTACAAGTTCAATGGATGCAAGACTTGTGAAGCTGCTATCAAATAAGGGGTCATATGTTAAAATGTAACGTGACCTGTTAAAATGTTTAAAAAGTTATAAGTTTGATTCAAATAGCTTTTGATTTCATTACATATGCTGCAAACACAACAAATGACAATTTTCAGTTCTTTACAACCTATAAAGTGTTTTGAAACTTACTGTGCATAATAATTTGGAACAGTGCATTGTAAGTTTTTTATGTTTAAAAAAAATACTGTTATCATTAGGAGGTTTGTTCAATAAAATTTGAATTGTGCTCTTAATAGTTGATAATATAAGAATTATGCTGACTGTTATTTCAATCATTATTTAGGTAAATGAGAAAAATGTCATTTGCATAATAATTTGGAACAGGGTGTAGTTCTGTATTTCTGTATCTGTGAAGTCTTACCATATTCTAGCTACAACATCTTTCTCTGCCACAGCTAACTGGGATCCAGAGTCCCAGGAAGTATTTGAAACTCACTTGTATTTTTTTTCTCTGACACTGATTATTCAGATTAAAATACAATAACAATTTTAAGCAAAGATTAGAAATGAATGAGAGCCGGAAATGTGACTTTATGGCTCTCATACTGTAATATACAGTGACGTCACGCGTCCATGCACAATGCGTTAAAATGCATTTCATTTCCATTATAACGTCACTTGAGGAGGGAGCCCCGGCAGAGCCAAGGGAGACTCTGCGTTGGAGAAAAGGTGAGTATTTTTATTTTTTCATTTTTATACCTGGAGGGCCCTAAAAAAGCACAGGCTCTGTTTTGTTTCACCATTAAAATTGGGATACTCATCTGGTAGTTGATGAAAACTAGTAAGTCAATCAGGATGGAGATGGCGAGTTCGCTGAAGCCTTTCCATAGGGCAGACTGAACTGTCAGGCCCTCGGTCCGTGACGGCACTTAACCTATGAAACGGCGGGTTTGTGCCCCTCTACTTAGTCTGCCCAGTGGCTAGAGAGACCAGCAGCCTCCAGTCTGTAGCTGTCAGTGAGCTCATGGCAATGCTGTGAGACATCAAACTTGCAAGACAACTACCTCATGGTCTGCAACACTGCACCTGGATATCTAGACCAGCGAACCACCAGAGAATCAGTTACTGACCCTCTCCCTGCCCAGGAGTGGGGCAAATGCATCAAAAAGTATTACAGTGCGGGGAGGCTGGACACAGAAACACAGCCACAGGAGGTGAGAAGAACACACACTCACTTTCAGTCCGGCCGGGTACAGGAAACAGAAACTCCGCGTGGTACAGGAGTTTCTGTTTCCTGTACCCGGCCGGACTGACAGGAAGTGCCCACTCAGTGGAGAGGAGTTCGGCCACGTTACAGGGAAGCGGAGATGGGGGGGCGGAGGTATGAAGAACAGAAGGGGGAGGGGTAAGAAGAACGGGGGGAGTTAGAAGAAGAAGAAGAAGAGAGAGCAAGAAGAAGAAGGTGGGGTAGGAAGAAGAAGTGGGGAGTAAGAAGAAGAAGTGGGGAGAACAGAGAGGGGAGTAAGAAGAAGGGGAGTAAAGAACAGTGGGGAGTAAGAGAAGAACACAAGGGTGAGGAGAAGGAGATGAGGAGAACACAGGAGGGGAGGGAGGAGGGACCAGGAGGAGGAGATGAGAATATGGGGACTGAGAAGAACACAGGGAGGGGTGGGTGGTGAGGAGAACACAGGTAGGGGGGGAGGTAGGAGGACAAAGGGAAAATGGGGGTAAGAAGAACACGGGGGTTAGAAGAGGGAGATGGGAGAGAACACAGGGAGGGAGGTGAGAGAGAAGAACACAGGGAGGGAGGAGGTGAGAAGAACACAGGTGGGGGGAGAGAGAAGAACACAGGTAGGGGGGAGTGAGAAAACAGAGAGGAGGGGGGCATAGTAAGGGTGAGGAGAAGGAGATGAGAATGTAGGGGAGGACTGAGAAGAACACAGGGAGGTGGGTGGTGAGGAGAACACAGGTAGGGGGAGGTGAGGAGGACACAGGGAAAAGGGGGGTAAGAAGAACACGGGGGTTAGAAGAAGGGGAGATGAGGAGGACACAGGGAGGGGGGAGGTGAGAAGAACACAGGGAGGGAGGAGGTGAGAAGAACACAGGGAGGAGGAAGGGGGTGAGGAGAACACATGGAGGGGTAAGGAGAACACATGGAGGGGGGGAGTGAGAAGAACACAGGGAGGGTGAGTGAGTGTGAGAAGAGACCGCTAGGGGAGGGTGGGGGAGAGGAGAGACCACTAAGGGGCAGGGGAGAGCTCTAAGGGACAGAAGGGACAGCTCTATAGGACAGGGGGCAAGACAGGGAGCTCTTTCACACTACACACACACACACACACATTGCATCCCTATAAATACTCAGAAACACACAATGCATCCCTACACACACACAAACACAACTTGCTTCCCTTACACACAGAGAAACACACAATGCATCCATTACACACACAATGCAACCCTTACACACAAAGACAATGCATCCCTTGCACACATACACAGAAACACACAATGCAAACCCTTACACACACATGCAAACACACACACTGCTTTTCTTACATACACACAGAAACACAATGCATCTCTTACACATACTCAATGCACACACATACAGACACACACCTTGCATCCCTTATGCATACAAACACAGATTCACACAATGCATCCCTTACACACAAACAGAAACACACAATACATCCCTTATACACAAATACACACTGCTTCCACTACACACAAACACAGTGCATCACCTACACAAACTGGTATCCCTATACACTACATACCATAAGCACACATGTTAGATCCTCTACAACAGGGCCGTCTTTAAGGAGGGGCAAACGGGGCAGCTGCCCTGGGCCCAGTTACTCATGGGGGGCCCAAAGCAGCTGCCCTGTGGGCCCCGTCGCCTGCAATAAAAATTTATTTTTAAAAAATATTTCCTTTCCTAATGGGCCTGCGGTGCTAGTATTGCGGCTGCACCGGGGCCCGCACACTAAGGGGCCCCCCCGGGTGGCCCATACCTTTAGGGCCACCCAGTGAGCATGTTCCAGCAGGGGTACGGTCGGCGCTGTGGCCCTTTAACAGCGCGTCCGGGTCCTTGCTTAATGGCTGCATGGGAGGAAGTGACGTCCGCGAATCACTTCCTCCCACCTCAAAGATATCGGGCCGCGCGGGAGGCTGCTGAGCCAGCATCCAGTGAGGAGGGGGAGCAAGGAGAGCCAGACCCCCAACTCCCGACTACCCCAGCCAGCACACTGTGTCAGTATGTCTGTGTCAGTATGTCTGTGTCAGTATGTCTGTGTATGTGCCAGTGTGTATCTGTATGTTGTCAGTATGTATGTATCTGTGTGTGTGCCAGTGTGTATACCTGTGCATGTATCTGTATGTAGCCAATGTGTGTATCTGCATGTGTGTCAGTGTTTGTATCTGCATTTGTCATTGTGTGTGTCTGTGTATCTGTATGTTGTCAGTGTATCTGCGTGTGTGCGTGTCAGTATGATTGTGTATATCTGTGTATCTGCAAGTGTTTCTGTGTGTGTGTATCACAGTGTGTGTGTTTGTGACAGTGCATGTGTATTTGTGCATACATCTCAGCATTCAACACTACACGCAAATACACACCTGCATTCAAACTTCAACACTACATATAAACACACCTCTTTTTTTAAACAACAAAATTATATATAAACACACCAGTGTATTCATAAACCAACACTACACATAAATGCATACTTGCATTTAAATGCCATCTCCACATACAAACACACCCCTACATTCACACAAACATACTCCATACAAAAACATGCTTACACTCAAACACACAAATACTGCTCAGTGCTAAATATAACCCTGCATGCATAGGAAAATGGTAGCGCCCCAGCTGTCAAAGCATTGTTGGAGTAGAATGACAGATGGGGATCTACCTTTTGCCCCCTCTTGCCCAAAATAATTCATGCACCAGAGCCCTCTCTACTTTACGCCCGCCTCTGCGTTGGGGTGGGGGGCATGATTGCATGCCAGGGAGGGGACGACCGGGTTCAGGGGGCCCAAGCAAATGTTTGCCCAGGGTCCAATCCATATTAAAGACGGCCCTGCTCTACAATAACACATAACACATCCCCTACACACTCCACTCCCTGTGAGCGAACTCATGGGTGGATGGAACATATAAGTGGACTTATGAGTGGGCATACTCACCGTCAGGCCCTGGGGCCCAGACCTTGAGCTTTGTAAGGAGCCCCCAAAAAATGGAGCTGCTTCCAATTCTCCCAGAACATTGAATTTTGTGACCACAGTTGCAAACAGCCTCCAGAGATCCTGTTCTACGCCAGACCAGACTAGCCAAACTGCAGCCAATCATAATCCTCATCTTGTTGTAAGTAGGCAATATAGTATATTATTAGTGACACTAATCTATAATTTAACTCACATTAAAGGGACACTATAGTCCCCAGAACCACTTCAGCTTAATGAAGTGGTTCTGGTGTCTATAGCCGGTCCCTGCAGGCTTTTTAATGTAAACACACACTGTGTGCAGCACTGGCGTTAGTTCATATGGCAGATCATATGGGTGGGGCATTGTGATGTCACATGGGGGGGCGGCAAATTTTTATTTTGCCTAGGGCGGCAAAAATCCTTGTACCGGCTCTGATCCTGGGCAGGCGCACCAGTCTACTGGTGACCCACAGGAAGGGGAGTACACTGATTGCACTGCACTCTCCTCCTGCCCAGACCTGTCTTTACAGTGGCTCATACTCACAGCAAGCAGTGCCTGGAGCCCTTTGCGGAGACGGGAACAAAAAGGTTCTGCGGCAGCTGGCCGTCCTGCAAACATTACATTAACCAGCTGTTCCCCATGCAGCCACAGGTGGCGCTGTGCTGGGAGAATGTGATTACTACAGAGCAGCGCATGAGAGAGAGAAAGGAGGAGGCATGCTTTAATCTTACAACAAATCCAGTATGCAAATATTTATAAATTTGGGGGGGATCAGCTCTGTTTCCACAGTTTATTGGTGTTTACTCTGATGTCTGTATTAATATTGAGGGATTTCTAAGTAGTAACATCAGTGTGTGTCAGCAGGGCCAGCCGTTGGGGTGTGCAATCTGTGCGGTCACGCAGGGTACCATGACAACAGAGGCGCCCGGCGGCCAACACAGCTCACAAGTTGGGGACACCAGCCTATTCAATTTAAACAATTCGCTGGTGGTCCACTGGTGCGCATCAGCAGTAGGTGCAGTCAGATTATATCCTCTCCCTCGTGGTTCCGGCGCTCAGTTAGAGAATCAGAGCACAGGCTCAGAGATTCTCAGCCTGCGCTCTGACAACATTGAAAGTCAGAGCCGCAAAGGATCGGGTATTAGCATAACATCAATATCCGTTATAAAACCAGGAAAAGGTGGGCATGGATGGTGAACTGATTCGGTGGGGCAATGGGCCACTTGACTGGTTTTGCCCCCCAGGCCTAAGGCTGCCAGCCCTCCCCTGTTGGTGCCTGCTTGTGGGATTGCATGTGTGTAGAGTAAGCTGATTGTGGTGTGGTATTGTGTAAATAGGTTGAATTCAGTTGTGTTTGTGGTGTAATATGTGTGTCTAGGGGCTGTAGAGAGTGTGTATAGGGGCTCAGTGTGCATAGGGGAAGTTGTGAGTGTGTGCATACGGGTTGTAGTGTGTGTAGGGGTTGTAGAGAGTGGGGGGGGGTTCAATTCTTTATTTATGGTCAAGATAGCATAAAATAGTGATAGTAGAGAGTGTGTTTTTTGTTTGCTTACAAGGAATGTAGTGTGTGCATATGAGATCAAGAGTTTGTATGTCAGAAATGTAGTGTGTATAGGTGATCTAGTGTGTGTGTAGAGAATTCAGAGTGTATATAGGGATCTAGGGTGTGTGTGTGTGTATGTGTAGATTAGATGATCCAGAGTTGGGTAATTGATCTAACTTGTTTCTGAAATGTAACGTGTCTAGTAGTGCAGTGTATGTTTGTGAGGGGTGCTGTAGTATATATATTTGTTTGGAAGTATTGTATGTGTGGGGGGCGCAGTGTGTTGGGAGTGTTGTGTGTATATGTGAGTGGTGCAGTGTGTGTGTGTGTGTGAGGGTGCTGTGTGTGAGAGTGCTGTGTGCCGGCCCATGAAGGCACACAGCAGGGCCGGCGATAGGATAGTGCCGGCTCTGCATGGGTCGAAAGGGGAGATCCTATGATCCATGGCCATTGTGGTATGGCCGATGGCCGGTATGGCCGATGGCCAGTTGGTGCCTGCCTGCCTGTCACACTCTCCCGCTCAACTCTGCCACACTCACACTGCCTCTGTAACCCCCTCCCTCAATCCTGTCACATTTACCTCCCTCTCCTTGTCACACTCCCTTCTTCAACCGTGCAACACTCATCCCCAACCCTTTCACACCCTTTGTTCTGCTACACTTACCCTGTCACATTAACCCCCCTTAATCCTGTCACACTCACCCCGTCTCACCTTGTCACACTTGATAAAGTCTAATTAACAAGAAAACTATGTATGCCTTAAAAAAATTTCACCCATTTAAGTGTGTGCCTTGGTCCAAAAAAACACTAACCAAAAGGAAATCTCTATCCTCCTACTCCATGCCAGCAGCAGTTATGTCAAAGTGTTATAATGCCCCATCACTGCTGGACGTACAACTACCAACATCTAAGAAGAAGTTCAATTAGGACTAGAACATATAATTCTACATATTGTACAGAACGTTCTCAACAGCTACACAGAGCTAACTACACCCTCCATGCTATTCTAGCTATGTTTCAGAGAGCTATAGAATTAAACTTCCCTTTGATATTCTAATTTGGAACCCACTGTGTGTTCAGCATTCAGCCCTTGTATAACCTCACAGCGTAATCTGGGAGATGTTGCGATTCAATATAGAAGCGCCCTCTAGTGGCCTTTTCACTCCATGACGGGATGGTTTTAGGACTGCTCGTTCTCCCTCTAATGGCCGAGCCCGGTATTGCAGCCTAGCTCCTCCCTTGGCCGTGACGTGCGGTGGCTGCAGGCTGTGGAAGATGGCGAGCAGAGCCATGGCTGTGGCTTTGAGTAGGTCAGCGAAGATCCAGGCCTGCGGGCTGAGCGCACTGCAGACTAGGTGAGCAGCTGCGATGAGCCCGTATTTCCCTTAGAGGCCGCAGTAGCCGGGGCAGGCAGTGGGTAGCCGTGCTGGGTGAGCCTGTGAGCAGACAGCGAGCAAGCTGCCAGCTAATGGCCCTGTATGTACTATGAGAGCTCGCTGTGTTAGCGCCTGGCAGGGACTCACATTAACACACACTGTGTCTGACCTGTAGCCTTGCTGCCTGCTCACAGCCTGCTAGACAGAGTGTCTGACACTGACAGCTACTGGAGGACCTGCTCAAGGTCACCTGCTCTGAGCATGGAGCTACAGGCTGGCAGCATGGGGCAAGGCTCTGCTCCAACTACAACCACATGCTGTCTGCTTCAGATCTTATGGCTTTGTTCAGGGCTATTTGAGACATCTTGGCCACAGCACATGATTGTTAGTATACAGTGAGCAGTCATTTCCCTTTAAGAATTAAAGAGTAAATGCTACCCAAATTTGGACACAATTGATATTTCTAAGGAGGAAGTGTTACTTGTATCATAACAATATCATGAGCGATGGGGGATGGGCCACAGGCACTCAAGGGGAACCATAGTTTGTGTCAAAACACTGAAAAATAGTTTGTCACAGAACTGGGGGACAGAGATACTGGCAATCTGGCACTGTGTTGACTACAGTTTGCTCTAGTGGTTATGGTGCCTTGGCACTATAAGGAGATTTTGAAAGATTTTACTTCTTACCTGGATTGCACCCGGTGCAGCTACCTTAATCTACTACAAACACCAGAGAGCCTGAAGTTCCTAAGTAGATACTTGGTTCTTGTGGAAAAAAAACCTGTAGTGCTAGGAGCGGTGTCTAATGGACCCCAGGTATGAAGTAAAGCATTACTGGCACCATAACTAGTACAATGAGCTATAGTGGTTATAGTGCTTTCAGTGTTTATTTCAATGGTATTCGTTAGAATCTGTTTTTATGATTTTATGTACATGGCGATAAGACCTTGTGCATAAAAACATATTTGCTAAATTAGTGTTACATTCATAATGATCCTTGCTGTATTTTGTGCATTGTGCAATAATTCCACTCAATATGTAGGTAATTTAACTTTTATTTGGTATTTTTTACAACACTCCTTTTGTGTACTACTTCCACATCTCCACACTGGAAATTTCCCTATAGCTGTCGTTGTGTTTTGAGTGAATGGGGACACATGAAGTGCACCTGGCAACAAACCCATTCTGCCCTTCTCATAGAGAATTATTGAATCTAATGATGATCCTAAAAGAACACTACAGGCATCATAACTACTACATAGTGCTGAAGTAGTTATGGTACCAGTGGTGCCCTATGGCTGGTCGCCTGCAGCATGGTTTCTGACAATTGTAAACATTGCTATTTCTTAGTTTTTGTTTGCTCTTTAGATGATGCATGTACCTTTAAATGGTCAAGAACGAAAATACATTTTAGTGTGTACCGAAGAACTTTGACTATTGATACATGTTTACATGTTTCGCAAGTTCTGTGACTATGTTGCCTTTATTGATTTTGGATTTTGCTGAATGCTGTACTAAGGCAATTGAATATCAAAAAGCTCCCACTCCTGTTATTGCCTTTTTAAAACTACAGCAAAACTGTACAATAGGCCAGGGTTTGACACATTTGGTTTGAATCTAGGAGCCAGCTAAAAAAGTTAGGAGCCTTTTTTTTTTTTTTTTATACATAGAATGTGACGGCAGATAAGAACCATTCGCCCATTTAGTCTGCCCAATTTTCTAAATACTTTCATTAGTCCCTGGCCTTATCTTATAGTTAGGATGGCGTTATGCCTATTCCACGGTCTCTAGTACTGAGTACAATACTCCAAGTGCGGTCTGCGCTAATAAAGCCTTATTTTCAACAACAAAAATAACAGATCTTAAATTTACACATAAAGATGACTAAAACCAAATGTCGTGGGCATTTAATTTATGCAGATAATGAAAATATTCTGATGTTTTATGCAGTGTATCTGTTTTTTCACTTGACTTTTTCTGGCCATGAACATGCCTTGTATATTTAGAATTAAAGTACCAATACACACACACACACATATATATATTCTCTCACATTCACAAATTACTTGTATTATGTCCTCCCACGCCCTAACTTTGGGAGAGCTGGAGTGGATGCTTTCCATGGGGTCCAGTGGAGCTGCTATGATCCTGTCATCTTCAAGCTCTTCTTACTTTGGTCCCTCACGCGCTGTTTAGTCATGCCAGGGCCAGAGGGATGTCATATCAAGGCTCCCGGCATCACAACAGGGCGCGCAAGATAGCAAAGCAAGAATAGCAGAATGATTACAGCTCCCTCACCGCCTGCCTCGGCGGGGGATTACAACTCCCAAACATGGCCAGCTGTTAGGACCCACGTGAGCGGTGGAACACAGAGGGCCCGGTCGCATTCGCTTTACCATTCATTCCACCACTGCACATTGCATTACGAGCATATGCAAGCAGTGTTGAACGGGCTGACAAATACCCAGGAGCCAGGACAAAATTCCTATTTGCCATGTTGACCTTGCGTCTTGGACTTGTCTAGCCCAGCAATAAGCAAACACACAAAATTAAAATAACACTAGACATTTCAAGGTGAGACATCAGAAGAGAAAGTATGTTCAAAGGGGGATTTATTATAATAATTAATCATAGGCGTCCGTAACACAAATTGGAGCAATGTTCCTGGAAACGCTTTAGACATGGATCCAAATGGTGACCACTAGGGAAAGTGCACCCCATAGATGGCACTAGACACACAGTACTTTAATTTAGGTACTGTAATGTTCTCTTATTCTAAATCTTAAATATCGTGGCATTGTAGTGATAGTCCTGAAAAAAGCAAGAAATTGGGGACATGAGCAGAGGACAATATGTCTCATAGAGGTCAGTTCATATTAAAACTGCAGTCGGTAGCAGCATCTATTCCTGCATCAACATTCAACGTGAGCAAACAAAACAAATTAATTCAGACCAACGTTAATAAAAATGTAAAATAGTTTTATTTCTTGTTCAGGACATTGGGCTGGGCATAGATGGGAGAATATCACAGACAGAAGGCATTAAAGGACCACTATAGTGCCAGGAAAACATACTCGTTTTCCTGGCACTATAGTGCCCTGAGGGTGCCCCCACCCTCAGGGTCCCCCTCCCACCCGGCTCTGGAAGGGGGAAAGGGGTAATAACTTACCTTTTTCCAGCGCTGGGTGGAGAGCTCTCCTCCTCCTCTCCGCCTCCGATCCGCCCCGCCGGCTGAATGCGCATGCGCGGCAAGAGCTGCGCGCGCATTCAGCCCGTCGCATAGGAAAGCATTTACAATGCTTTCCTATGGACGCTTGCGTGCTCTCACTGTGAAAATCACAGTGAGAAGCACGCAAGCGCCTCTAGTGGCTGTCAATGAGACAGCCACTAGAGGATTAGGGGGAAGGCTTAACCCATTCATAATTATAGCAGTTTCTCTGAAACTGCTATAATTATGAAAAAATGGGTTAACCCTAGAAGGACCTGGCACCCAGACCACTTCATTAAGCTGAAGTGGTCTGGGTGCCTAGAGTGGTCCTTTAATGCATTTTGTGTCTCAGTGGTTCTTCATCAAAGAGATTTTTGACAAGAGCAGAGAAATACACATGGGGGATATGGACTGAGGTACACAAATTAGGGACATTGGCAGAGGCACAAAAACGAGAGGATATTGTCAGAGAGAAAAAAACTGAGGAAGGGTTGAAAAAGAGGAATAGTTTTTTCACTACACTCCAAATTGAAATCTGAACTGCAAAGTTAAGGCAACAAAAGCAAATTATTGACTATAGCTTAATTCAGATTTAGATTCTGTACACAAAATTTTAGTGAATAATGCATGACTAAATTCTAAAATAGGGCTTTTTTTTTATTTTATATATTCAATAATCTTACAGTGCCCTTCCTGAGACTGGGCTCTGGATCCACCCCTGATACAGTAAACAGAAACATTCGGTTATTTCTTAAGACCCTGTGCATTATTTTTCCTGATTGCACTCATGAATACAGCATGAGTGGCTTATTATACCACACGTTTACATAGCAAGTTAGTGTTTAAAGATTTAATCGGTTGCTCACACTCTAGAGAGAATGGCTGATTAACAGATGGCCTGAAGAACACTGTGCCCTCACCGTTGATCGCGTATGTCTGTTGCTATGTTCATTCTCTTTTAGATCTATTTAAAGACATAGGTCATATTCTCAGAATTTATTTTCTACATAGAGAATGGTGCTCTGCTGTGGCTTCAGATACTGTCAAGATCAAACATACTGAATGTACAGTATAGAAAACTTTTATTTGTTAAACTTTTGTTAATATTTTTGTGTTATAAATACACTTTGATACTTAGTAACCAGCATAGAATATTTAAAAAAAATAAAATTAAATAATTCATTAAAAGTTGGTAAACTCCTGGGCTCTGCTACTGGAAATACTTATTCTGATTATTTTACTGTCAGTTTGTGTTATGCAATATATCGCAATAAGAATTGATTTGAGCAGTCTTATTGGTTTTGTGTAATAGCTATTGCTATTTTTATCTATAATATATCCTTTCGCAAACCTCTGGTGGGTAACTATATATAGATTAGCACAGTTTACACTCGGAATATCAACTTCTGAAAGGGTTGTCCACAAAGTGGTCTATGTCAGGAACATCCTGCCACTGAATCATGGGGCTCGTGATCTCTATTTAAATAATCTTCCCGTTATATGAGCATTATGCTCAAATAAGGCTATTTTACGCAAAAACAGTCCATAGTCTTCTGCACATTTACTTCCATTATGATGTAATAAATATTGCTATTTGATATATAATTTAGATTGGAGTCAGAGATTGGTATACGTTTTCAGTGAGCTGTCATACACTTACATTTTATATACATTCCACCTCAAAGTGTTTAGAGCCGTACTTCTTATTTGATCATCATGAGGGCAGGACAGCAGATAGGGGAAGCACTAAGCTGTATTTTGTTTTAGTTGTATTGTTATATTTTTCTGTTTTTCATTTTCTAGTCACAATTTTTTTGGTATTTTTTGCTGGCACTTTGCTTTTCCACACTAGCCCAGCTTGAACGCTTCTGGTTGCATCATTCTGTTACACATATACACATTTTCTACTGCTCTATTCTCAATTTGTCTATATGTATGCAAGGGTACATGGCAGACATGTACTTTTTGCAAATGCCATTACGCTTTATTTCCACTTAATCATAACTTCACACCTGCCTCAGGCTCAGCCATACTAACCTCCCTTGGAATTAAGGTAAACTCACCCATTACCGGGGGGAGAAGTGATGTTGAAGAAGAGAAGAAAATGCCACGAGAAGAGCTGTGGAAGTATTGTGCGTTTGCATTAATGGTAATATGTAAATAAAAAAAGTGGCTGCCGAGGGTATATATTTACGAAATGGTAATTAGCAGAGAGTTGGTAAAAATCAGTTGTCAAACCAACAAGTGATCGGCCACACTTGTGTGTTTGAGAGACCTTCACTTGTGATTATCATTTATGTTCTTGTTGTAACAAAGTGCTAACAATGATTGTCATGTGTATATATATATATTAACAGGGGGCTTGCCTTGTCCAGTCAAAAAGCCAAAGAAGACAGCTGGCTGCGTTCCCTCTTTGTACGTAAAGTAGATCCTCGCAAAGATGCACACTCAAATCTCCTGGCTAAAAGGGAAACCAGTAACCTGTATAAAATACAATGTAAGTATTGGCTTGTTCCACATCTCAACATTAGTTAGGAATTTGGCTTTGTTAATTTACAAATATGGGAAATATTTAAACAATTTGTTTATTGAATTTCCTCTTTGTGGATTTGTAGTGATATATAATTCCCATAAAAAAAAACTGTGAAACATGCTATTATTTGTCCTTCTCACGCCACTACTATTGCAGCGTGAGTTTGGAAGGGCATCAGCATATAGTTAAATACACTTACCGGTAAGTGATCTTAGTAATCTGATAGATGCCTTAGGATATGTGCTGCCCCTGCTATTGCTGTTCAATAAGACTATGTTCCATATCAATCTTGTTTTCTAATTTCAGTTCACAATGTGAAACCAGAGTGCCTAGATGCTTACAATAAGCTGTGGTAAGTTATAAAAGCTGTAATGTATATGTGGCAAGTGATTAGTAGTGATTCATAGTTTTATATTAACATATTTCCATATATTGCTGGCTCAAGGCATGGACTAATTTTCATTTAGATTATTTTCCCCATGAAGTGTTGTATAAACTAGTGCCTTTAAAGGGACACTCCAGGCACCCAGACAACTTCTGCCCATTGGAGTGGTCTGGGTGCCAACTCCCACTACCCTTAACCCTGCAGCTGTAATTATTGCTGTTTTTATAAACTGCAATAATTACCTTGCAGGGTTAACTCCTCCTCTAGTAGCTGTCTAGAGGGCACTTCGTGATTCATAGCACAGGTTTTCTGTGCTATAGCGTCGCTGGACGTCCTCACGCTGTGTGAGGACCTTCAGCGTCGCTAAAATCCCCATAGGAAAGCATTGAAAGCATTTTCAAAGCTTTCCTATGGAGAAGTCTAATGCGCGGATGACGTGGGGACGGGAAGGAGCGTGGGCGGACCAAGAAGCAGCGGCGAGGGACATCGTCACTGCCTCTGGTAAGTCACTGAAGGGGTTTTGACCCCTTCAGCAACCGGGGATGGGAGGTGGGAAGGAGAGGGGCCCTGCAGTGGAGTGTCCCTTTAACCGAAACATATGAGAGAAAATGCATTTGTAATATGATTTCTATGTATCTTTGCTTTTGAGATATATGTATGTGTGTGTGTGTGTGTGTGTGTGTGCGTGCGCGCAGTGGTGTATTCTGGCTTTGTGCTTCCCTAGGCATGACAAAACTTTGGCATAACCCCCCTTCCCCACTCCAAATATCTCTTCCTGACAGACACATGCCCTCACTGATACATGCACTGACATACTTACTTACAGTTATTGTCACACACACTGTTTAACCAACACACACTTTCACTGAAACATTCACAGAAATACACACACACACACACACACACACACACACACATATTGAGACACACACATACACTAACTGACAGACACGTGCACACTCACTCAGTGCCAGACACACACACAGGGACACTCTCACTGACAGATACACACACACTGACACACGTTTACATACACTGACACACATTCAGTGACAGATATTTATACACTCTCACTGACACATACACTCTCACTGACACACTCTCACTAGCGGGCACGCGCTCTCTCTCACTAGCAGACAGACACAGGCTCCCTCTCACTCTCACTAACAGGCGCGCGCGCATGCACACTCACAATTTAAAATGAAAATTTTTTGAATTCAATCCACCCAGCCTTTTACCTTTAGGAGTGCTGGAGTGGATTCTTCCCAGTGGGGCTGGCTGCAGCTTGGCTGGCGGGCGGGCAGGCACAGAGTGAAGGCAAGTGGTGAGGGAGCAATGACCTTCCCTGCTCAGCTCTCTCGCGCACCTCTTAGTGATGCCGGGCCGGAGTGACATAGTTAGTGATAGATATATATCTATCTGTGTGTATGTATCATGTGAGGAAGACTTTTTTTTTTTGTGAATGCCAGTGACAATTCTAAGCATATCAACACAAATGTCCATACTATCATTGCATCCTTGACAAAAGAATGCTGATCTCAAAAACCTGTAATGATAATGCCGTGTGTTGAGTAATGTATTTGTTATAATGTACAGTATTTAGACTCTTGTGAATATTTTATACACTATTTTTGTTTTTAAGTGAGGAAGTGTTGCCAAAAATTCACCAAGAGAACGACTACCCATGTACTTTGGTGGGTACGTGGAATACATGGTATGGGGAGCAGGACCAGGCTGGTACGTAGCAGGAAATATTAAACATGCTACAGAACGTGAAGCAAAGAATACCATTTCATGACTATAATGTGAATAAAACCCTTAAGGTTGTAGCAGAGCTTCTGAAACTATTGGGGTAAACTAATTTTTCAATACCAATCATTGAAAAGGGAATAGGTTAATCAATTTGCATAATCATAACTTAAGAGACATCCCTTCACTTAATTGAAATATCCTGTAAAACCAATATGATGTCAAAATTCTGGAAAGGTACAATTTTATGTTTTTCCTTATGGTTTTAGTCCACCTTTGGCGGTACGAAGGAGGTTATCCTGCACTGACAGAAGTCATGAGTAAACTCAGAAAAAACAAGGTGAGACCTGAATTATCACTCAATCTGCGCTCTGAAATAGTGTGTATACTCGATAATTTAGCTCTCACAAATGCTGATAAATAATACTATGGTTTCAGACATTTACTTGCACAGCCACCATAAAGGAAACCACCGGGCACTGGATAATCCCAAAGTCTTCTTTCCAACTGCATTTAGTCATTCCACTTCTCTGAGTTTCTTTAAACAGGAAGCCTCAGACTACTGCTAGAAACTTACTTCTTTTTCTCAAGCTGTTTTTATGAATGGGGGGCTATTTATTGACTTAGAGTGTCAGCAGGCTCAATATGTTTAGCAAAGCTGCCATCAAAAACAGGGTGTTCAACTGACAAATTCAACATACAACTGAAAAGGAGTGGTTGTTAACTTGTAAGTCCACTGTATTCCTAAAACTTTACTTTTATTAGTTTAATTATAAACTGAATCACATAGTATCAGTATGTATACACACAGATTTAAATGGAATAATCTAGGCACCGGAACAACTTTAGCTTAATGAAGCAGATTTGGTGTGTAGATCATGCTCCTGTTATCTCACAGCTCAATTCCCTGTTATTTAGGAGTTAAATCACTTTGTTTATACAGCCCTAGCCACACCTCCCTGCATGTGGCTTGCACAGCCTTACTAAACACTTCCTGAAAATGAATCTAGATATTAAAGGTTCCTGTATTGCACAGTCTGTTTAATCTAGAATTTCCTGTCTCCTGCTCTGTTAATAACATCATAGACCTGCCTGTGTGTGATTAAAGTTTATTTTATAGACCAGGAGATAAAAACTTCTTAAAGGGACACTATAGTCACCAGAACAACTACAGCTTATTGTATTTGTTCTGGTGAGTATAATCCTTCCCTTCAGACTTTTTGCTGTAAACCCTGTCTTTTAAGAAAAAAGGCAGTGTTTACATAACAGCCTAGGGATGCCTCCACTGGCCACTCCTCAGATAGCTACTATAGGTGCTTCCTGGGGTAGTGCTGCACAGTGTGACTGACACCCTCTGTATGCAGACACTGAACTTTCCTCATAGAGATGCATTGATTCAATGCATTTCTATGAGGAGATGTTGATTGGACATGGCTGTGTTTGGCTTGTGTTGGCACTGCCCCTGATCTGCCTCCTTGACAAGCTCAGCCAATCCAATGCTTTCCTTTGTGAAAGTGTTGTTATTGGCTCAGAACACCACTTCTGATGTCAGCCAACCAGGAAGATCAGGGGCCGAACCAGCAGCAGCAGACTGAAATAAAAATAAGATTTTGCTATGTTTAGGTGGTGCAGGGGGGGCTAGATGGTTATTTTAACACTATAAGATCAGAATACATGTGTTCCTAACCATATAGTGTTACATAGTTACATAGCTGAAAAGAGACTTGCATCCATCAAGTTCAGCCTTCCTCACATTAGTTTTTTTGCTGTTGATCCAAAAGAAGGCAAAAAACCCAGTTTGAAGCACAATTTTGCAACAAGCTAGGAAAAAAAATCCTTCTTGACCCCAGAATGGCAGTCAGATTTATCCTTGGATCAAGCAGTTGGTTCCTTTAAGCAAGTTAACATCTGATTGAAAATCACAAATTTGTTTTTCATCATGCAGGCTTTGTCAGTCACTTCCAGAGGATGTGTGGCTAGGGCTCCATGAACACAAACAAAAGTGATTTGCCTCCTACTAATAATTGGGCAGTGAGAGGAATGATCTATGCACCTAAGCTGCTTAAAGGACCACTATAGTGCCCTGAGGGTGCCCCCACCCTCATGGCCCCCCTCCCGCTGAGCTCTAGCATGAGGAAGGGGTTAAACACTTATCTTTCTCCAGCGACGGGCTCCCTCGGCGCTGGGGACTCTCCTCCCTCTTCAGCTGAATGCGCATTCAGTAAGTCCATAGGAAAGCATTCCCAATACTTTCCTATGGACGCTGGTGCTTTCTCACTGTGATAATCACAGTTAGAAGCGCAGAAGCGCCTCTAGCGGCTGTCAGGGAGACAGCCACTAGAGGCTGGATTAACCCATATGTAAACATAGCAGTTTCTCTGAAACTGCTATGTTTACAGCAGTCAGGGTTAATCCTAGATGGAAGTATTAGGTGCCTATTGAGTTAATCAATAGTAATTGCAGGACTCAGTGGAAATGGAACTCAAGGATAAAAATAAGATTGTAAAAATATATTCAATAAATAATAGGATATAAATGTATCAGCTGATCGGATCAATGCCTCCCATATAGAAGGGTAGGAAAAATCCGAAATCGCTGAAGAAATAATCTAATAAGGGTTCTAAAACACCAATATAAAAGAACCGATACAAACTGTAGGTTAAAATCCTTAAAATGGTGTCAATTATATGTAGCAGACAGAGTGCTTAATATAAAAGATTTTATTGGCACATCAATACTGTCAGTACAATACATATTTATATTATTGGTGTTTTAGAACCCTTACTAGATTATTTCTTCACCGATTTCGGATTTTTCCTACCCTTCTATATGGGAGGCATTGATCAGATCAGCTGATACATTTATATCCTATAATTTATTGAATATATTTTTACAATCTTATTTTTATCCTTGAGTTCCATTTCCACTGAGTCCTGAAATTACTGTTGATTAACTCAGTAGGCACCTAATACTTGTATCGTCTTGCACCGTAGGTGGCGGTCATTCTTGCAGTGACATAGTGGTTATGGTAGTTGCATTTGGTCTCATTATCCAACTCTAGAGGTTATTCACCACAGTTTCTGATGTTCTGTTGTTTATTAATCCTAGATGGACCTGGCCCCCCCCTGACCACTACATTAAGCTGTAGTGGTCTGGGTGCCTATAGTGGTCCTTTAATTAAGCTAAAGTTGCATTGATGACAATAGTATCCCTTTAATAGATTTTATTTCTTAGAATATCTCTGAAGATCTATCAATTTCGGTGTCTGTAAGTCTTAATATGTACTGAGAATTTTCACTATCACAGTTAAAGTGATACTCTGAGCAACAGAACCTCTACAATCATCAGTCTGTAGTGATTACGGTACTAGAAACTGTTTCTATTTCTCAACTAAATTTGCATGGTTTGTCTGACTTTACCTTATCAGAACTTTATTATTTAATGTGCTAATTTTTTTGAAAAATATATACTGTAGTGTAAGTTCCAGAGAAGTGAAATTTTTTACCTTTTAAGCAGAACCCAAGCTTGTAAACATATAACGATTTTCTATCTTAAAGGACCACTATAGTGCCAGGAAAACATACTCGTTTTCCTTACACTATAGGGTCTCTAGGTCCCCCCACCCTCTGGGCCCCCCTCCCGTCACAGTGAGAAGCGCGGAAGCGCCTCTAGCAGCTGTCAATGAGACAGCCACTAGAGGCTGGATTAACCCTAAAGTAATCATAGCAGTTTCAGAGAAACTGCTATGTTTACAGCAAAAAGGGTTAAACCTAGATGGACCTGGCACCCAGACCACTTCATTAAGCTGAAGTGGTCTGGGTGCCTATAGTGGTCCTTTAATTGGGTTAATATAACTTCACATTAACACTGTCTTCTAGAATTGAAAACACCTATGTGCCACCAGTAGCACAATTATTGACTGGATTGGTTAGGTAATCAAGCATTCACATTGCACAATTCCACCTAAAATATATTTCGGTGTAGCTATATATACTGATGGTTTTTAATCACTTTCACATTATTTTGTATAAATGCTGACACTGTGTGGTTCTGTTTTTAATGGAAACAAATTAATTGCATTTTTGGAATACACATACCAATCACCCATTTTGAGTTGTGTAAATATTCTTGAATTTTATTCTTCATAATTTTCAATGTACACTGCGTCCCCAATCAATTTGAAAATCAATAGTAATATAAGTTTGAGAATTAACAACAGTTGCCCTCATGCTTACCTGTATTACTGTTTTTATATGTTGTCCAAACCATACAGCATACAGAGTTTTTCAGATCATTTCTCTTTGATTATCGTTTCTGTCTCCATTTGAATAGGAGTTTACAGAGTTTCGGAAAGAACGAGGTAACATGCTTCTCTCTCGCAAGAACCAGCTCTTGCTAGAGTTCAGTTTCTGGAATGAACCTAACCCAAGACAAGGCCCTAATATTTATGAACTGAGGTCCTACCAGTTGAGAGTGAGTGTTTTACAAAAAAAATCCTTTCTTACGTGCTAACCACATTTAATAAGATTATTATAATATTAAGTTTAAGCTCAGAGACCGGAAGCATTTCAGAATGCGCTTGTATATACATATCTCTAGTTAAAGGAACACTCCATTAAAAAAAAAAATTGAAACAAGATATATAATTAGTAAATATACCCATAAAGAAAAGCATGCATGTCATTTGTTTGGAGTGTTTGTTTAAGACTGTACATTGTACTCTAATATCTACAAATGTTGGTTATAAGGCTTATAAAAATAAATATAATTACCATAGACTTCTTTCTCATAAACCATGTATTAACTTGATTTATTTTTTATGCTAATTGCATAGTAAACCAAATGCATAGAAGCAGGGTTAGTTTAAATATGGAAGGATACATTGATACACTCATACTTATAACAACAAAATTAAAATAGTTACAAAAACACACACACACACACACCAGAGATAGCGCATAACACCAGTTTTACATTATAACCAATGAACAAATGACCCCCCCCCCCCCTCTTAAAGGGGCTGTCTGTTCCACTGTGGTCAAATTTTAATGGGGCATTCCTAGTACTTTCTGCAGTGTTTATTGTCTAGAGTGCCCTGTTGCCATCTTCTGTTTTGGTTTGATTCTTTTACTAATAATTTGATATAAAGAGGCTATTCCTGGCATCTTCGGACCACTGCATATTTACATTACCAGTTTCTTCCAACCTGGATGATATTGAGAACCCCCAGCATTGTCAATTAATGTCATACCAGTTGGGGAAATATGATTATGATAATGCAAAAGTGTAAAATCAACACTATATTAAATTCTTCAATTACACCAGGGATTCTGCCAAGCCATTCTAGGCAACATAACCACAGCAGCAAACTGTATTGGTTACATTAATTGGAGTGTTTTTAAATCATACCTTCCAAAATTGGGAAGTATCAAATAAAAAAAAATAAAAAAGTTGTAAGTTGGTGGGCAGGCAATTAGAGAGTGTCACTGATTATGTCAGAAGGGGTTGGGCAATTTGAAAAAGGGGGTGGACATGTCAGGCGAGCCCCAAACAGTGATGCCCATGCACAGTGAGATAATATATATAGATAGATAGATATATATATGTGAAACAAGGGGTATTATATATATATATATATTTATTTATTTTTCAGTGCATCACTTTATGTTGTGTATGGTGGGCTAGCTTTCTGTTGACATTTCCTTGTCCCCAAAGGTGGACAAGACCCCAAATTTTAAAAAGCACCCACCAAATCCAGGATAGTTGTGCAATATGCATTAAAAAAAAAATAAGTTTAGTCACTAAATATCAAACCATAATGGACTGAATTCCAAATTGAGAAATGTAGGAACAAATAGCTGAATTTTAAGCAGTCACTAAGTTGAAGACATTTTCCAATTGAACCATTTTACAAATTAATGTGCTCTTTGCTTTACAGTGCAGTATAATTTTATGTATGATGAATAAACCCTAAGTGCTCTTAGAAAAATTAAATATAGCAAGTCAGTTTAAAAAGATTGACTTAAGGATAATATTGGAATATTTAAAGGTACTTTTTTTTCTGCCACTATAGCAACAGATACATTCAACATAACTCCTCCTTTTAACGTCTGATTTAATTACAGAGCTATTTGTGATGAGGTTTCGGTTAATGAAAAGTAATAGGGTGATTTTATCTAATAAACACAAAGTATATCGACAAGAAAAATACATTAAAAAAAAAAACATATATATGTTTTGAGGAATCCTTGTTCTGTCTACTACATTGCTTTTGAAAAGGGTAAACACCATTTCATTTAATTTCCATTTCCTTGCATTACTTTACTAGGGGTGAGTGTGCTGGTTGTTTATATTTAGATTTTTTTTCCTAATGTTTAGTTTTTGAAAACGTGATATGCATCTGTGTAGGTTAAAGAAACACTATAGTGTCTCACTGCTCATTAGTGGCAAGTGTAAATGTTAAGCCCTGATATAAGTAGTCTGAGTCAGTAGAACCGTAAATTGATGAGTGAGAATCAAAAGTTTTTGAAAGTGTACCAATTCTACCGCCCTGTTTAGCACAGTGCATACATTGGATGTCAACATTTAGTTTATGAGTGACTGCTTTCAGATGTATATATTTTTTTTATTTTTTACTTTTCAATTGTAAATTATGACTAATGCTTGCTGTTTGAGCAATAGACGATGGTTAATATGAAAACCTAGATGACCAAAGCCAGTAATCTCCGGCTTTAGCTACACCATGTACTCAGAATGATGCCCACACTTATTACAATTTAATTAGAGGCATCTTAAAACCTGCTAGAGGGCTGCATAAAATAATCTGTTGAATAAAACCTGAGTCACAGAAATGAATTGCTTTAAAATAGACAATAATACAGGAATTAGTCAAGAGGGCAAGCATCCTTTCCAGAAAGCTTCTTATTAGTGCTGTCCTCGAAATACCTTTCTATTGTGCCACATGGGACATGCTTTTTTTCTTTTCCAGCCTGGAACCATGATTGAATGGGGGAACCACTGGTAAGAATATCACCCACCATTAGAGTTGTAATGATAATGGAGCTAATAAAGGCTTGATTATTAATTTCGTAATAATTGATTTAGCAGATAGTTTTTTTTGTTAAATTAATGTAATGCAGAAACGTGTGTTTTGCTTTTGTTTGTTTTCTTCCGTCTTCCTTACTAATGCAAAATAATTTCTCTAACACCCATCTATGCAATTTGCAACACATTCAAGTAATCTAGTAATATTTGCATTAGTCAGCGTTCTGTATATTTTTAAATGGATTAAACCAATTTCCCATGTATTTCTAATAATTGCTCTTTTTTCATTTATTGGTACATAATTGCATTATTTTAAGTTCTCCTGTATGAATGCATTTGAAGTCAGCATTTGCTGTACAAACTATATATTTTTTTTTTTAATGAAAATGTTAACGTCACTGTGGAGGCCAAAATCCCCATTATGAACAGTATGCACTTTTTGTATTTGTGGCAGATAAACTGAACTTTAATACATTAACCAAGGAAGCTCCGTTTATTTTCCATCAAGTGTTTCGCTAATATGCTAAGAGAACTTGGTTACTGCAATTTACATATCCCAGATTTGTTCCTTCACTTTGTTGATCGTGTGGCCTCTGTAACACTTTAACATCTCCTAATATGGCAAAGGAGCATGTGCATAAATTCCTTAATGAATGATAACATGCCATATAATGAAGAAGCATATATGTTATGATACAGTTGCAAAATAAAAGTAGTTAATTGTTCTGCAGAATTTATATAGGATTCTGGCTACCTGCCTGTCTCAAGTGGTCGGTAACCTCTATATACTGTTAAATGTAAAATACTATAGCGGTTTCGTACTATGCGTACAGATGTTTTATTGCTGTTTTTAGTGTAGAACAAAGAAATCCTTGTGGAAAGCAATGCCATATAGCCTAAAGAAAAATCATAATTAGTGGCTTACTTTATTTATTAAAATCAGTGCTATTTATTGAGTTTTACACACTTTTAATCATTATTCGCTATATCGCAGTAGGTAGACCCCTCTTAGATCAGGCATAGACTCTACCAATGAGGAGCCTCTTATGTTTCTTGTTTGTTTTAATCCCTTGTTTTCAGGCTATTAATAGTCCCGTTCACAATTATGTGAACCACGTTGTGTGTGCAGTGATCAAACAAGTTGCTGCCAGCACACAACCATGGCCACAGGGTGGACATTCTGCAGAGCTAGGGGATAGATATCTGTCCAAGTTGCACCTATGATGGGTGGGTTCATGCAACACACAAGTCCAAAAGCAAATTGATATAATGTTGTTGTGGAGCTTAGAGTAACCCTTTAAAGGCAAGGATTATGTCCTTTTGTATTGATATACCATATTTAGACCCTGACAATATGGTTTTTACACTCACTGCTGTAACTGACACTTTTGTTTAAATTCCAATTTAAATTAATCCTCATCCCTTTCTACTAGGTATTCTACTAGTAGCAATTCGGTATACTATATTATTGATAGCACAGCATTTGCAGCAATAAATTCCAGTTTTAAAGTGTATTTTAATTAGTAAAGAAACGTTCACAATATGTTGCTAATGGCCCTTTGACTACCCTCATCTTGAAGGGATTAATCTAAGCACCATGACAACTACAGCTTGTTATGGGTTACGTTCTGGTACTGGATAGTTAATCTGAAAGTAAAGAAAGCTCAATGGACTTCTCAAGGTAAGATTATATGGACAGCCCCACCATAACCTCTACAGAAAGTTACAATATGCTTTGAGTGTCTCTTTAAAGGAAAACTCTAAGCGACCTAGCCACAACATGCTGTAACTGTTATGATGCCAGGAGTCCACTAGTGTTGTCTCATGGTAAGCTGTCATCAGTTCTGAATGCTTTTACACATACCTAGCTTTCTGGTCCTTCCAGACTGCACGGATTTACCAAAGGGGAGATTCATACTTCATTATTTGCATACGAACATTAGACATTATTCACTGATAGGTAGTGTCATTTGATAATCATGCTGGACTATGGGCACCAAACAAAGCCACGTAAGTGTCAAACTGTTTGTAAATGATTTGAGAGCTTGCCAGAAGGAGTCCTTCCATTATAACAATGCTTTCAATCATTTACCCTTTTTTAAAGGGCAGATTACATTGTAGTTAGATCCACAATCTCTATATGTACACGTTTATTTCTGAAAATATCCTGTGCTTTATGAAAGGCTCAATTCAGTGAATATAATCTAGGAAAAAATGCAGTCATACTTCATTGAAGAAAATCTTTTACTGTAGGATTTTGGATATTAACATTCTTTAACATATCACATTTTTGTGTGTATTTTAACAGTTTATTGTACCACTAACCAAATAGCATGGACCTTGTTGACTGGCTTTTTATTTATTTTGTTGTGTGAATGTCTTGTCTCGCCCAAATCAACTCCAACTCTACTGAGATCAAACAGAAAGTAATTAAAAAGCAACAGATATTATTTTAGATCTTAAAAGGCAGGATTGTGCCTTCACGCAATTTCAAAACTATTTGTAGGTATAACTGCATGCTATACTTTTTCTAGATTTCACTTTATCAGTTTGATATGGCTTTTTCTTTTTTTCCCGTGACCTAGGGCCCGTGCCATAAGGTATCGACAGGACGGTAGTGAAGCAGTGGCTGGATTCTTTTCACAGATTGGCCAACTGTACATGGTTCATCATCTGTGGGGTAATTATTAAAAAAAAAAAAAAAAATTGAAACATTTTCTCAATTTTTCTTCATCACTGATTTCTGTATTTATGGTATAATTACATCATATCAAAGCAGTAAGGCCAGTTTTGACTCTGTTCAGTAAACCTGGTGCACTGTAGTCAGAGTGGCCATCTCCACATAATGAAAAAATAACCATGCTTTATTCACAAAGTGTTGTGAGTACAGTATTGAAGTCTATGGAGGATTCTGTGTGACCACAGGTTCCTCCATAGACAAAGCCAATCCCCTGCAGCCATTACTGGTGACATTTGGGAGATTTTGGGAGACACTTCTAGAAGGTGGTAACTCCGGCCAATGTGCTTATAAGTTTCAGGCGTAGGAAATATACAGAGACAAAGTGATCCCTACTGTGTCTCAGTGTATCTCTTGCCTAGGTTGGAATTTCAATATAATTTCAACATCGTCAATATGAGTATTTCATAAAGATTCTAATACTCATTTCCCGGGGAGGGGCGGGAGTTTGCTTTGGTGCTTGTATTTCATATGGACAAATCACTTTATTACAGGAAACCAGCAGATGTACACACATTAAAGCTATCTGCCTAAATGAAAGTCACATCAGAAGAGTAGGTGGATAAGGGTGGATAAAATTTAATTTCTCTCCTGCTTTATTAACCTGCAAAGTATACATCATTAAGTATGATGATTGTCTACCATGTTGATGGTAGTGAAATGTCCCTTTAAGTAGAACAAAAAAATAAGCTTGACTTATTTAACAATGATCAACTGTAGGCATTCTGAAGCAGTGAATATAGTAACCCTTTAATTTTTACATCCCGCACTAAATGTTTTTCAAGTAGATTGGTAAATATGTAATACAATGGAACATTTAGTCATATTTATTAAACTCTTGTTTCAATAGCTTACACTGATTTACAGAGCAGAGACGATATCAGGAATTCTGCCTGGCAGAAAGATGGCTGGGATGAATGTGTCTACTATACAGGTAATAGAGTTTTTATATGCCCTTGTCTGATTTTAGAGAAAGCCCTTTATGTACACTATGGGTGTTTTTGTAACAACTAAACACCAGTTCAAATTTAGTTCAAATCAATTGCCGCTGGCATGATATTTAAAAGCAATGTAAAACCTGCTGTGACAACTTAAAAGGATACTCTTCACAAATATTAAAAATATTTACTATTTAGTAGATATGTCCTAAATGCAAATATTTCTGCATTTACATATGCATTTTATCATTGGGTGTGTATCTAAAAAAAACAGCATGTGAAAGCTGTAGATCTCTGTCTGCAGCTTTTGCAAGCTCTACCCTTCTTGCCCAAACCTCCTGTGGCTGCCTTATTAAAGACTTCACAATGCAGCTCAATGAGAAGTCTTTGCAAGGCATGTGCTCTGGGCAATTGCTGCCTCTTAAAGGACCACTATAGTACCATGAAAACATACTCATTTTTCTGGCTCTATAGGGTCCTTGGGCCCCCCTCCCGCCGGGCTCTAGGATGAGGAACGGGTTAATCCCTTACCATTTTTACAGCGCTGGGGACTCTCCTCCTTCTTTCCCTGTCATCGGCTGAATGCGCATGCGCGGCAAGAGCCGTGCGCGCATTCAGTCAGTGAAAATCACAATAAGAAGCGCAGAAACGCCTCTAGCGGCTGTCAATGAGAGCCACTAGAGGCTGGATTAACCCATATGTAAACATAGCATTTTCTCTGAAACTGCTATGTTTACAGCAGAAAGGGTTAATCCTAGATGCACCTGGCACCCAGACCACTTCATTAAGCTTAAGTGGTCTGGGTAGTATATCTCCACTGAGCTAAATAAACCAGGAAGTAACAGGACCATGTCTAATTGACAGCCAGGTGGAAGTAGCAAGGTTAATCTACAAAAGTGACAATTTGCATTGAAAGCTGCACTTTTTATAAAATGAAAAGAGACACTCTCACATAAAGCACATCAGTAAGCTAAAGTTAGGAGTATTATTTTAATAGTTCTTTACTTTTGATTTCTCATCACCATGCAATCCCTTTCTTACCATTTGGGATTTGTTTAATGCCACCATTAGTGGTTTCTTTGTTGAAATTAGTTAGGGGATTCTTTGTTAAAGTTAGTGTCGAACCCATAGATATTTAGGTACTGTGACGTAGTGGTGGGCTTAACACAATATGGCCATATAGTGTAACTGAATTTCCATAAATGTTTGCTAATGTAGGTGATTTTAAGTAGCCTTGTAAAATTTAAAGCTGTATTTTTGTGTGTGCGTCTCCAAATCTATAAATTGGCTATCAAAATAAGCCTCCCCTGTTGACACCTTTGGTTTGGATAGGGCCCAGTTATCCCAATTTTAGAGGAAAAAGAGAGATGTCTCTTAACACTACTTCCAATAAGATTCAATGACAGAACACATTATTCCTAATTCACCTTTGCTCTGTCATGGGGCTGCACCAGGAAACTCACTACACATGGCTTTACTTTTGATATTGCAAAATACTCATTGCATTGTATGCTCCTCTTTGTTAAATATCAAAAGTAAAGCCATGTGTAGTGAGTTTCCTGGTGCACACACACATACATCTCATTTCTGATGGCAGTCCTGAGCAGAACAACTATAATTAGAGTAGAGTAGTTTTTTTAACAAAGAGGAGGATATATATATTTTACACAAGATCCAGGGCACTCGCCTATCCACTAAACAGCAACTTCAATGTTGACAGATTTTACTTTTTTTATTTATTTATTTTTTTTTTTTAATCTAGGCAAAAATAATGGGGGTTTAGTTACTATATAAACCCCTATATATATTAACTAAACCCCCATTATTTTTGCCTAGATTAGGTTGGGTTTTTTTTTTGGTTTTTTTTTTTTTTTAAAGTAATAAAATCTGTCAACATTGAAGTTGCTGTTTAGTGGATAGGGGAGTGTTCCACTACTCTTTACTGTGGCCTTTTGTAAAACACTATCTTTTGGTTTCAAGGTGGGGGGTAAGTCTCCTTTCAGAGGGAAGAACCTCAGCAAGCTATTATCACATTCCTTTCCGGTTGCAGCATATTCTATTTGGTATTCCAATACCTTTAAGTTTACATACATTTTTGCTGAAATACAACATGGCACACAGCAAACATTTTTTTTTTTTTTTGCTGTGCAAAGGTTAAAAAGCAGTCCTGCATTGCCACAATAGCATTTACAGGTAGGTTAAAGCAGACAGGATCATGACATGAGATAGTACTGCACAATTTTTGAATTAATAAAACCTGCTTATGCAGGGTATGTCAGTGAATAGATAAGAAAAAGTCATAGTGTTAAAGCAGGGTACATATCCTTGCAATTTAGTTACGAGAGACATATTAACTTGCTAGGTAAACTTTGCTTAGGAAAGTAGGATACAAACAAAGAGTGGACTGTAAGCAAAGAGTGTTCAGATGTCTGCTTTGAGTGTCAGGATGTGGCCTCTGGATAGCGGCCGTCCCTCCGACGCCTGACAGGCTGGATGGCCTCAGCAGGTGAGGGGAGTGTATTCCGGTGCAGGAAAGTACAGAGTCCAATAACAATCGAGTTGCCAGGTTCCCCACTATGTGATGAGTAACAGCTTGGAGCAGAAAACTGTATTTTAGCAGAGAGAAAGCTTATTTAACAGGTGTTTCTCAGGAGCTCATCTTGCATGCGTCCACTACTTGCCAGTCATGCTCAGCCCCAGCAAACATTTTTTTAAACCATGAACACTGCATAGTTGTTTTAACATTATAAGTTACATGGCTTGAAGACTGTTTGTTGTTGTTTTTTTAGCGTAATGCACTGAAAACAAAAAACTGTTTTGATCATGTCTGCTAAATTGGTATAACTCCTCTAATAATTGTTTGTGTGTTAGTTCCCCTCATACAGGAGATGGAGTCCAGAATAATGATCCCTTTGAAGATCTCTCCGCTTCAGTAATGTACATGGTGACCTTCTTGTGTGTCAGTGGGGAAAAAGTGGCAAACCTTATTGTGGATTACTTCAGCAATGAATGTCTCTAACGTCCAAGAAATATTTGTATTTCCGTAAATCAATAGTACTTTAATTCTGCTCTTAGAAATTCCTAGCATCAAAGCATCATGATCAGTTTTCATATCTCTATATGTGCATTTTGTTAAGTAGACATGTGCAAAAAAGTTTTTCAGCTGGTACAAATGAATCAAATCCCTTTTAACCTGTGCCCAACCCATCGGGTTTTACATGTGGAGTCTTCTTCATTGAATAAGATTCAGCAGATAAATCCTGGATAGATCGATTTGTTCAGGTGCAGAGTAAGAGGCATTAAATTCATTTGTACCATCAGAACACATTTGTGCACAAGTCTAGAAATAATCACTCTTTTAATGGATTTGTATCTTCCGTGAGTACCGCTGTCACACGCATCACATCTAATATTTGCCAGTAAAGAATGCAGCATATTTTCAAAAACCTTAAAGGAACGCTCCGTGCACCATAACTGCTTCAGCCTGCTACAGTAGTTATGATACCAAGAGTTCTCTGTTTCTTTTTGTAATTATGTCAAACCACTTTAGAATAGTATAACAACTAAGCTGTGCTGAGACGCTGCTTGGCAATGCACCTCACTTGAGCACTCTGAGCCAATGAGCAGGTGAGGTGTGGGCAAAACGGTTTGACAAATCACACTGGGATGGCACCAGGGCATGTGTATAGTGCAACAACATGGTCTCAAAAGCTTTGTCTAGCAAAAGGAAAATACTGAAATAGAAATTAATTCTAAGATTTAATGCAATTCACTGCTTCATTTACAAGATGCATGCCATGGTGCATAAACATACCAGAAAAACTCAAAATATATTGTACGTTGCATTTTGTTTATATGAGAGGAGAAAGCTTTCTCAAAATCATGTTTGTAAACTTAATAATTATGTTGCATTTGGATCTGAGAAGTTTCATTAACTATGATTTAGTAAAAACATGTTTTCATTATCTGAATGCTTCTAGTTGACATAACCCCACTGCAGTTCTATCGCAATATGTTTGACCACTTAATTCAAAGCAATGTAATGCATACCCAGCTATTTTAAGAGTGGCATACATCACAAGGTGGTTTAGCATTGAAGAATCCCTAGCAATAAAGCCTATTTAGTATGGAACTCTCTAGAGTATGTTTCAGCAACATTGCAAGTTTTTTTACCATTGTCGATAACCTGCAGCTCACGAGCGTTTAATAAACTAAAAGACCCACATTCAGCTGGTGAAGAATCATGTGATTTATAGTAAATACACAGCAAGAAAACCATGTATTGCCTACCCCTGATTCTAGCTATCATCAACAAATAATTAAAAGAACACACCGGGCACTATAGCATCAACTACTGGGATTGTTAGGATGTCATAAGTACCCTCCGCCTCCTATAAGTAGTCACAGGTTTTGAACAATTTGGCTTCTTACATGGTGTCTGCAAAGCGCTGCTTACCACACCACCATCATTACTTCCATAGGAGAGGCAGAAACTCCCCAGTTAGTTCCTGAGCTAAACCTTGTGAGTAGCTCATTGTCTGAGAGTGTCAGGTAGAGTTTTTTTGCACTCTGATGGAAGTAGTGAAGGCAGGGTGTGGTTCCTGGCAGACTCCAGGTAAGAAGTCAAACTTCTAAAATGTTTTAATTACTTACAATGGAAGGTGCAAGACTATTCCTGGCACCATTCAACACACTGTAGTAGTGTCCTTCTAAAGGCAAACACTGCATCTCATTGACCTAGTTATACTGCCTGGAGTACTTTCCTTCTGTTCAGTGTTAATGCTAAACAAGAATTTAAAGCAGCCCCATCCCCTCTGTGTTGCTTTGGCTAATAAAACACTCTCATGAGCAGTAGTGGACAGCAGTGATTGGCTGAGAGTGTCAGACAGCCCTAGCTGGTATGACTTGGCATAGATAAGGAAGAGTGTCTTAATCATACCTCCAGTGGAGGCTGGGCTGTGGGTGGCCAGGCACACTCGTTCATTGATGACCCTTAAATTGAGGGACAGTGCCAGGGGACTCCAGGCACTATAACCAGTTCAATGAGATAATGGTTAGAGTGCCTCCAGTGCTGCAGAAATGTCTAGAGAATGTAAAACTGTAATTTTTTAAGTGTTGGCAAAACGTAAATGTCCCAGTCTGTACTTTAACATATAATTTAATCTGAGTCTACAATGTCTTTATCTGATTTTCAAAGATTAGGTATGTTTCTGTCAAGTAAGTTTGGTTTCGGGTTATTAGTGTTTTAGGAGTATACAATTCTCTCATAATTGCTATCATTAAAAATAGATATGTCATAATAAAAATCCAGCAGCCAAGCACTTGAAATATAAATGGTAAATGCATCTTATTTTGCTTTGCCATCTGTCTTTTTATTTTAAGTGTTAGAAAAAAAAAAAAAAATAGGTCAATACTGTATGCTGTTACTACATGGAATTATTAAATGCAATGTCTTTTGCCCTATGCATAAAGAAATAAAATCTCCAAGGAAACATTTGTACATGTTACATTATAATAGGTCATATTGGAATACATATATTTACATGTCGGTTTTCTGATATACTATATAAATAAATGTAATTTCATTTGAATGGGTGGTGTGTTACTTTGGTGTATCGTCAGTTGTTTTCTCCCCATTTTTTCTTTAATAATTAGCATGTTTACAAAAAAAGGTGAAGAGGTGGAAGACCTTTTGCTGCTCCATTCCTCCCCAGTTGACTGATTTTGGTTCTTCTGATTTCTGCTAATGCCAACTGCTTGCAGTGTTTGTGGTGGGTGGTGAATGGAAGCCCCTCTATTAACTCTCATGTGGGTGGCAGCTCTGGGAGGAAATAGCTTATTGTGGTAAGTTTGTGCAGTGGACAATAGAACACACTACACACCAAAATAATTACATTTCATCCTTTGTTTCATTGAATATAAAACATTTTTTAAAAAGTTAGAAAAAACAATCTTATATAATGAAGCAGTATCTGACTTACTTATACAGCCTAGCTTGTGACATAAATAAAGCAATAGCCAAATAAAAATTTTAAAAGGAAAAAGGAACTAATCAAAATAGAAAAGAAGGGGGTGGGTCCTAGCACCCAAGATGGCTGGACAGGTCTCTTAGTAGCTCCAGCTACCTCGACTTTAACTTAAACAAATTCTGCTTTAATCGTGCAACAGGACGTTAAGAATAATCGATAACCTGCTATTGCTGCCAGAAGCTACCTGCTTAGCCAGATGTGCAGTACCTGAGCATTCTGGATACTCACCAACTCAGACCCTGAAGCCTGCTGAGACTGAGCACCTAATAGTTGTGAGAAGCGGCTGTTCTCCCGACTCTGGGCTCATCACGAGCAGCTTATAGCCCAGTTACCCCCCTCTTTGGACCGGTGGGGGATATCCTGGTCCCCACTGAGTGCAAACAGGTTGGTGGGGGTTGAATAGTGAAGTCAAATGGCAGAGTCTACAGGGCCACATGCTCGCAGCCAAGATTGCTGCCATACCAGAACCTGATCTCTGGGCCACCCATGAGCAACACACTGAGAGGACCTTTGAAAACTTATGGTCACAGTTCTGGGCCAAGCTTACTGACCGGGCGCAGAGACAAGTGATACAGACTTATGCCGACCACCAACTGCAGCATTTAAATCAATGCCTGCACTGAACCACAAAACTGAAATGTGGAAAGGGAAGAGGGAGGACACAGAAGGAATCTTTACATAGAATGTGACGGCAGATAAGAACCATTCGGCCCATCTAGTCTGCCCAATTTTCTAAATACTTTCATTAGTCCCTTATCTTATAGTGAGGATAGCCTTATGCCTATCCCACACATGCTTAAACTCCTTTACTGTGTAAACATCTACCGCTTCAGCTGGAAGGCTATTCCATGCATCCACTACCCTCTCAGTAAAGTAATACTTCCTAAGACTACGTCCTCTTGTTGTGGTATTTTTTCTTCTTTTAAATATGGTCTCCTCCTTTACTATGTTGATTCTCTTTATGTATTTAAATGTTTCTTTTTTTTTTTTTTGACAATCTTTATTTATGTATTCAGTTTTACAATTTTGAAAGGATGGGTGTACAGAAGGGAAAAGGGTGGGAAGTCAAACAGTTATTTGTATTGCACCAATGCAGTGATAGATATCCATAATAGCATAACAATCTGTGAGTGTCCTATGTCTTTGATATTCTCATACCCCCAACCATTTGGGACTTCTTGCAGCTCAGGGCGTCATATTCGTGGGAGGGGTGTGGGGCCCATCTAAGTGCAAGTATGTAGAGGCTGTATGTGTGGGTGGGTCTGCTTGTGGCGGGGCTTCCCGGCAGGTTTGTTTAGGGCTTTTCAAATGTTGTGGCTAGGGTGTCCTGTACCGTCTCACCTGTGTCCAGGTGTACGAACCCTGGAAGGAATGTTCTTTTCTGTGGTTGGGGGAGCATGAGTAAGAGATATGTCCCGCGGGTGTGCGAGCCTAGCAGGTGGTATTGCATGTGTGTTGTTGGGTTGCTTCTGGGGCTAAAAGCTGTGGGGTCTATTGTGCGGTGGATCTAGCTTATGGGCCATTAGATTTTTGGGCGTTTAGGGTATCTTGTGTGTTTCTGTCCCTTAATATCGCTTTTGTGAGTTCTATCTACTGTCCCTCTGTGGATCTGTGTTTGGTATGGTACATCTGTACATGTTCTCTTGGATTGAATGTCTCAGTCAAGTACGTGGTGTGGGGTGGGTATTTAAATGTTTCTATCATATGCCCCCTGTCTCGTCTTTCCTCCAAGCTATACATGTTAAGATCCTTTAACCTTTCCTGGTAAGTTTTATCCCGCAATCCATGAACCAGTTTATTAGCCCTTCTCTGAACTCTCTAAAGTATCAATATCCTTCTGCAGATACGGTCTCCAATACTGCGTCCAATACTCCAAGTGAGGTCTCACCAGTGTTCTGTACAATAGCATGAGCACTTCCCTCTTTCTACTGCTAATACCTCTCCCTATACAACGAAGCATTCTGCTAGCATTTCCTGTTGCTCTATTACATTGTCTGCCTACCTTTAAGTCATCAGAAATAATCACCCCTAAATCGCTTTCCTCAGATGTTGAGGTTAGGACTCAATATTCAAATATTCTGTACTCTGCCCTTGTGTTTTTACGTCCAAGATACATTATCTTGCACTTATGCACATTAAATGTCAGTTGCCACAACTCTGACCATTTTTCTAGTTTACCTAAATCATTTGCCATTTGGCTTATCCCTCCTGGAACATCAACCCTGTTACATATCTTCGTATCATCAGCAAAAAGACATACTTTACCATCAAGACCTTCTGAAATATCACTAATAAAAATATTAAAGAGAATGGGTCCAAGTACAGATCCCTGAGGTACCCCACTGGTGACAAGCCCAAGCTTCAAATATACTCCATTGACTACAACCCTCAGTTGCCTGTCACTCAGCCACTGCCTTACCCATTCTACAATATTGGAATCCAAACTTAAAGGGACACTATAGTCACCTGAACAACTTTAGCTTAATGAAGCAGTTTTGGTGTATAGAACATTCCCCTGCAGCCTCACTGCTCAATCCTCTGCCATTTAGGAGTTAAATCCCTTTGTTTATGAACCCTAGTCACACCTCCCTGCATGTGACTTGCACAGCCTTCCATAAACACTTCCTGTAAAGAGAGCCCTATTTAGGCTTTCTTTATTGCAAGTTCTGTTTAATTAAGATTTTCTTATCCCCTGCTATGTTAATAGCTTGCTAGATCCTGCAAGAGCCTCCTTTATGCGATTAAAGTTCAATTTAGAGATTGAGATACAATTAATTAAGGTAAATTACATCTGTTTGAAAGTGAAACCAGTTTTTTTTTTTTTCATGCAGGCTCTGTCAATCATAGCCAGGGGAGGTGTGGCTAGGGCTGCATAAACAGAAACAAAGTGATTTAACTCCTAAATGGCAGTGAAATTGCAGGGGAATGATCTATACACTAAACCTGCTTTATTTAGCTAAAGTAAGTTAGGTGACTATAGTGTTCCTTTAAAGATTGTAATTTATTGATAAGCCTTCTATGTGCAACAGTGTCAAAAGCCTTACTGAAATCTAGGTTAGCAATGTCTACTGCACCACACTGATCTATTATTTTAGTTACCCAATCAAAAAAAATCTATAAGATTATTTTGGCATGATCTCCCTGAAGTAAACCCATGTTGTCTCTGATCTTGAAATCCATGTGTTTTTATATGTTCAACAATCCTATCCTTTAACATGGTTTCCATTACTTTCCCCACTACTGAAGTAAGGCTTACTGGCCTATAGTTGCCCGATTCCTCCCTACTACCTTTCTTGTGAATGGGCACAACATTGGCTAACTTCCAATCTTCTGGGACTACTCCTGTTAATGATTGGTTAAGTAAATCTGTTAATGGTTTTGCTAGTACACCACTAAGCTCTTTTAATAACTTTGGATGTATTCCATCAGGTCCCATTGACTTATTTGCCTTTACTTTTGACAGTTGAAATAGAACCTTTTCCTCTGTAAACTCACGTGTAATAAATGACTCATTTGTCCTTTTTCCTAACAGGTCCCTTTCCTTCATTTTCATCTGTAAATACTGAACAAAAATATTCATTGAGGCAGTCAGCTAGACCTTTATCCTCTTCTACATACCTTCCTTCTTTTGTTTTTAATCTAACTAATCCTTGTTTTACTTTCCTTTTCTCATTTATGTATCTAAAAAATGTTTTGTCCCCCTTTTTTACTGACTGTGCTATTTTCTCTTCTGTGTGTGATTTGTAAGCTCTTATAACTTGCTTAGCCTCTTTCTGCCTAATCTTATAGATTATTTTGTCTTCCTCACTCTGAGTTTTGTTTATAATTACTAAATGCTACTTTTAGTTTTTTACTATTTTGGCCACATCGGCGGAGTACCACAATGGTTTCTTGATTTTTTTGCCTTTATTTAGGGGACAACGCACTGCATTCAGCCATCACTTACCTGGGCCTTGGTTTATATGGGAACATTCCCCCAAGCACAGTTCCCATCCTCGGGAAGCGCATACATTGCATAGAAGCCAGTCAACGGCAAGAAGTATCCCAGACTGTCCAGATCATCAATGGCGATTGGATTAGTGAGGAACACGTGCTGGAGAGTAATAGTGACTGGGGCTGGCAGGGTAACATTGTGGAAAGTCAGTCTTTTTTTTTTTTTGGTTTGTAAGCATAATACATAACTTATTCATTTTATGGCTGTTAAACCCCTAGATAGCGACATATATGGGTGCATACAACAAACAATATAATCGAGAACTTTTAAACCAAAAAAAATCAATAGAAACAAATGAATGGAGCAATCAGGGTCTGTCTATTAGTCTACTGTGACTGGACTCAATTGTGAGACTGTGTTCAGAGATGCGTGCCGGTATAGGTAGGCAGGGTGCCAGGCATTGTGCCTCTGAGCCTGGTTTACCTCCTTCGGGCAGTGCTTCCAGATAAAGTGGATGGTGCTGGCGCCCCAGCTGATATGGAATTTGTTGTCTTTCCAGTCAAGGTTGACGTTTTCTTTTGTGGAACAGCCGGTAGGCCCAGTCTCTGTAAGAAAGGTTCTGAGGTGA